CAGGATGCAAGCTGGCAGGAGGCAAGCAGGCAGGCAGGCGCGAGGCAAGCAGGCAGCTGGCCATGGAGGAAAACAGGCAGAGGCAAGCTGGCAGGAGGCAAGCAGGGGCAAGCAGGCAGGACAGGCAGGGAGGCAAGCAGGGCAGTAGGGTTGCCACAGAAAACTTATGGCATTACAATACATGTTATCTGAAGTGCTTCTCTATCTGCCACCTGCTTCAAAGCTACTGTGAAAAAACAACTGCTTTCCCTTTTCTTATGATTAAGTAACAATACTGCTGAAAAATTCTTTTAACTTCATCTGTGTATAAAACTGTATTCTTATATAATTGCATTTCATAATCTAGCTTTAAAGGGATACTCTGCCTGCTTTTCTTTTTGTTTGTCGGTAATACAATTGTAAACACGTACTTGATTCTCAAATTCAGCAACTCCCATTTCCTCGCATTTAGTTGTGTTATTTTCAGATAAAATTTATTTTTAGAAATTAGAATGTAAAACTATGTTTTACTGTGAATATTTGGTGCTTTAAGAATTCCAGTTCTTGAATTGAATATCATCTAATGTAAAAAAATTGTACCTATAAATGTACAAGAAACCATGGAGAAGTGGAGCAGAATTCTTCCTCCGTAAGCCACGTATGTCGTAAGAGGCAACTAAAATGCCGGAAATAAAGGTCTAGTAAGATATGAGATAAGATTTTGTTTGGCATTTTAACCCCAGAGGGTTAGGCACCCAGGATAACCCAAGAAAGGCAGTGAGTCATCGAGGGACTTTGTCTTATTTCCACTGGGGTCCTCAATCTTGTCCCCTAGGATGCTACCCACACCAGTCGACTAACACCTAGGTACCTACTTGCTAGGTGAACAGGACAGCAAGTGTAAGGAAACACATTGAATGTTTCCACCATGTCAGGAATTAAACCCGGACCTTCAGTGTGTGAAGCAAGAGCCTTGCCAACTAGGCCACAGGGTCCCATGGCCCCTTCTCCTGTATAAATTGTTAAATTTAAAAAGAAAAAAACTTTCATTTTTCTTTTTTAAGTCACCCTGCCTTGGGGGATACGGCCAGTTTGTTGAAAAAAATAAAACTTACAAGATTGTAACCCAAATAATTTTTCTTATAATCATCTACTGATATATTTAGGTCAAATTACTACACTACATTCTTTATACAGTGGTCCCACCGCCATAACGATGCATCACATTAGAGATTTTTCGCATTAACGATTACTTTCTTATACAAAAAATTTTACGCCGCGCATAACGATTAAAAACCCGCCTCTTAACGATTTTCGTACGAGACAGCGTTCCAATGTGCCATCACTTGTGCCGGCCAGTTCCCATTGTTTACCAGCCAGCATCCGCGGTAACATCCAAGCATAACTCGGAATATTTCGTATTATTACAGTCGTTTTCGGTGCTGTTTCTGGAAATAAGTGACCATGGGGCCCACAATCGAAAGCTTCTAGGAACAACACTTTGGTAAAAAGGGTGAGAATTAGTATGGAAATTAGAAGTTTTGAAGGGTTTTGGGGCGAACCCTGAGAGAAAGCGCTATGCCAGTTGTGGAATCCATTGTGCCTACTTCAAAGATTAAGGAAATGTGTGCCAGAGTGGTGTTGGAACTGCAAAACCTTTATAGATGAAAATACACTGACACAGCTGTTGCAAGCCGTGCTTGTGACTATTGCACTGACATTGTTATGGCCATTTTAGGAAAGTCTTGAAGGAAGGAGGTACAGAGCTCTATGGACAAGATTTGTTGTGGACAGAGGTCCAGTGAACTCTCAAGTGGTCCTAGTGGAATTAAAAGAAGAAGGGAAGTAACCACAGAAAAGACTTGCTACCTCAAGTCCTAATGGAAGGGGATTCCCCTTCTAAACAGTAAGAAGATAATGCTCTCCCCTCCTCCCATCCCATCAATCATCACCAGATCTTCAATAAAAGTAAGTGTCATGTAATTGTGCATGCCTTTTTCAGTTTGTGTGTATTAAAATTAACATTTCATGTGGTAAAAAAAAATTTTTTTCATACTTTTGGGCGTCTTGCACGGATTAATTTTATTTCCATTATTTCTTATGGGGAAAATTCATTCGCATAACGATTATTTCGCATAACGATGAGCCCTCTTGCACGGATTAAAATCGTTAACCGGGGGTCCACTGTATACTCACTTATTCAGTTTTATTTGTATATATTTAATGTCTTTAAATGCACATACATGTAGTGTTTATTGCTGGCCTGAAATACTCTGCATAACCAAGGGCTTTCTTTATGCATTTAAGTGTCACCCATTTCTCTATAAACAATGTATCATGTGGAAATTAATTTGAATGTATGCTTTTAAAACTAACAAAATATATATTTAAAGTTTGATATTTGTTAAAATTTAGATGATATTTATTTCATACATTTTGAAAAGCCCCTGGTTAATATGCAAAACATTTTGGTTAAACTAGAACTGTATAAGTTGTATCATGTACAGTGGACCCCCGGTTAACGATTTTAATCCGTGCAAGAGGGCTCATCGTTATGCGAAATAATCGTTATGCGAATGAATTTTCCCCATAAGAAATAATGGAAATAAAATTAATCCGTGCAAGACGCCCAAAAGTATGAAAAAAATTTTTTTTTACCACATGAAATGTTAATTTTAATACACACAAACTGAAAAAGGCATGCACAATTAAATGACACTTACTTTTATTGAAGATCTGGTGATGATTGATGGGATGGGAGGAGGGGAGAGAGTGTGTTAGTGTTTAGAAGGGGAATCCCCTTCCATTAGGACTTGAGGTAGTAAGTCCTTTTTGGGGTTACTTCCTTCTTCTTTTAATGCCACTAGGGCCAGCTTCAGAGTCACTGGACTTCTTTCGCACAAGATATCTGTCCATAGTGGCCTGTACCTCTCGTTCCTTTATGACTTGCCTAAGTGTTTCACAACATTGTCAGTGTTATAATCACCAGCACGGCTTGCAATAGCTGTGTGAGGGTGATTTTCATCCATGAAGGTTTGCACTTCAAGCCACTTAGCACAGATTTCCTTTATCTTTGTAGTAGGCAACTTCTTCAATTTCTCTCTCCCCTCCTCTGAACCAGTTTCCTCAGGTCTGGCCTCTTGCTCTTGAAGTTGATCTATCAGCTCATCAGTGGTTAGTTCTTCATTGTCCTCCTCCACCAACTCTTCCACATCCTCCCCACTAACCTAACCCCAAGACTTTCCAATGCCACAATGGATTCCTCAACTGGCACAGGATTCTCAGGTTAGCTCAAACCCTTCAAATCCCTTTTGTCTACACTTTCTGGCCACAGTTTCTTCCAAGCAGAGTTCAGGTCCTCTTAGTCACTTCCTCCAGCCTTACCTATAAGGTTTACACAATTGAGGATATTAAAGTGATCTCTCCAAAAACTCTCTTAGAGTCAGTTGAGTTTCTGAGGTCATTACAAAGCACCTTTCAAACAGAGCTTTTGTGTACAGTTTCTTGAAGTTGGAAATAACCTGCTGGTCCATGGGCTGCAGGAGAGGAGTGGTATTAGGAGGCAAAAACTTCACCTTAATGAAGCTCATGTCCCCATAAAGTCGCTCTGCCACGTCTGTAGGATGACCAGGGGCATTGTCTAACACCAGGAGGCACTTAAGTTCTAATTTCTTTTCAGTTAGGTAATTTTTCACATTGGGGGCAAATGCATGGTGTAACCAGTTATAGAAAAATTCCCTAGTGACCCATGCCTTACTGTTTGCCCTCCACAGCACACACAAATTATCCTTGAGGACATTCTTTTGCCTGAACGCTCTGGGAGTTTCAGAGTGATACACTAATAAAGGCTTCACTTTGCAATCACCAGTAGCATTGGCACACATCAACAAAGTAAGCCTGTCTTTCATAGGCTTATGTCCTGGGAGTGCCTTTTCCTCCTGAGTAATGTAGGTCCTGCTTGGCATTTTCTTCCAGAACAGGCCTGTTTCTTCACAATTAAACACTTGTTCAGGTTTCAGTCCTTCAGTTTCTATGTACTCCTTGAATTCCTGCACATATTTTTCAGCCGCTTTGTGGTCCGAACTGGCAGCCTCACCATGCCGTATCACACTATGGATGCCACTACGCTTCTTAAATCTCTCAAACCAACCTTTGCTGGCCTTAAATTCACTCACATCATCACTAGTTGCAGGCAATTTTTTTAATTAATCTCATTGCAACTTCCTAGCCTTTTCACATATGATCGCTTGAGAGATGCTATCTCCTGCTATCTGTTTTTCATTTATCCACACCAATAAGAGTCTCTCAACATCTTCCATCACTTGCGATCTTTGTTTCGAAAACACAGTTGAACCTTTGGCAAGAACAGCTTCCTTGATTGTCTTTCTGGTGCCCACAATAGTAGCGATGGTTGATTGGGGTTTCTTGTACAGCTTGACTAGGTCGGCTATACGCACTCCACTTTCATACTTATCAATTATCTCTTTCTTCATCTCTATAGTAATTCTTACCCTTTGAGGTGTAGGGTTGGCACTAGAAGCTTTTGGGGCCCATGGTCACTTATTTTCCAGAAACAGCACCGAAAATACTGTAATAATACGAAATATTCCGAGTGTATGCTTGGATGTTACCGCGGAGGCTGGCTGGTAAACAATGGGACGGGGCGGCACATGTGAGGCTGGCTGAGGGCACATTGGACGCGTCTCGGACGAAAATCGGTAAGCGGGTTTTTAATCGGTATGCGCGGCAAAAATTTTGCGATAAAAGTAATCGTTATGCGGAAAAATCGCTATGTGATGCCATCGTTATGCGGGGGTCCACTGTACTTGTAGAAATAAAAATTATTATTATTACTCCTCTCTTAATAAATACAAAATACTGTACAAATAATTAATTTCTTTTCTGCAGTATACAGGTAATGTAGTTTACGTGTAATAAAATACTGTTAGGCACTAAAGAAAGATACTAGCATGAAGTGCATTTTGGGCAGACTGGTGAACTAATGTCTGCTTTCTTTCTTTACAGATTCTACCAAGAAACTTGAAGATGTGCTCAAGGAGTTTACTGGGTCAGGTCCTCTTTCTAAGTACAGCCTGGAAGGGGTGAGTGTATTAGTTTATTATGTGTCTTTAGAATATATAGTATATACTGTACCTGTGATTACTACTACATGTACTAATAATAATAATAAAGAAGAAGACGAATATCTCCATGGGGAAATTGAGTAGACTCATTCCTCCATAAGCCATGTATGTTGTAAGAGGTAACAAAAATGCTGGGAGCAAGGAGCTAGTAACCCCTTCTGCATATTTTAATAAATGTAAAAAGAAATTTTTGTTATAAAGTTTTCTTCTGTTTGGGGTTGCCCTGCCTTGGTGGGCACTAATTACACTATATCATTCTCTAATCTACCCTTACCTCACTTATGACTAATCACCTTAAACCATGGATAACCCAACAAAAAGCTGCTTTGCAGATTATCACCCATTCCTGAGCCAGACAACACACACCTCCACTCTTCAAGAGTTTGAATTTACTTAATATACAAAATATGCACTCTTATTACTGTGCCTATTATATATAGAACATTAAACTCCAGTATAAATCCTCCCCTCAAACTGCTCCTTGATAGCTACAACAGAACACACAGGCACAATATATGGCACAAAAACTCCCTTAGACATCCCCATGGTTGTCTCACCTTATACAGAAATGCAGTGGACATAAAGGGCCCCAAGCTATAGAATTCATTACCTGAACTAGCAAGAGGTCCCCTGTCTGCCAGTCACTTTAGAGCTATAATTATAAAAATCACTTCATCTCCCAGATATAACTACACCAACACTTTGCTATACCAAACATAACCAACTTCCTGTTTCTTCACTGTCTCTTATAATCTTCCCAGAGCCTGAAAACATAAAGCCAGTTTGAAACTTCTAAATATATCCCAATTAATACATGCTTAAAACTGTACTATTGTAAATTGTGTTAATTGTAATATTTTTGCTACCTCTTTTTTTGTAATGATGCATAATTAATAACCTATGTCTAATCTTAAGTAGTCTGTAACCATTAGCATGAGTCAGCCCAAAATGCATAAGCATGCTAGTGGCTTTCTTTGTGCTTAACAATATCTTATTATATGTAAACTACACTTTGTATTCTACACAAATATAATTTTATTTGATTTGATTTGAAATAGCTGGTGTGTTAAAAAAAAAATAATAATATCTACAGTTATAATTATTAATCACTCTCCTCATGTATGTCATCACTTTAAACAACTTAATACTGATGCAGCAATCCTTCTGCAGGACATTGACTATGAAGGGTTCCGATTGTTCATGAATACTTACCTAGAAGTAGACACACCAGAGGAATTGTGTCGACATCTTTTTCTCTCCTTTGTCAAGCGGCCTCGACCACAGCCTGTTGAACCAAAGTCTATTAAGGTATGCCTGTATGGGACATTTTCGGATCCCACTATTACATGTATGTCAGTGTATAGCTAGAATATTTTCTGAGGTTCATTATGAAGTTTCCTCGAAGTATCTCAGAGTTTGTGTGTATTAGGGCAAGTAGAGTATGTCAGGAATTTTATCATTTTCATATCTGTCTGTACCACTGTACTCCATCATGATCATTATTAGTCATAATTATGGTATAATGTTTCCTTCCACTTTATATACTTTGTATGCTTTTTCTTTGTAAATCTTTGTAAATTGCTTTTAGAGTATTATTAACAGAATCTGGCAAAACCCATAATAAAATAATTTACTTGTCATGGGTTAATTATACCTCTATCTAACTCACAAATGTTAATCTTTAGAAAAATTTCAGTCTGTCCTGGACAATTATTAAAATGCTATTGGTAATATCATGGCTTGATAATGTCATAATTGATAATGTTATGGCTTGATGATGTCATGGCTTGATTATGTAATGAATGAGACACTTATGCAACCTTTGACCAACTTTATTGTGGAAACATTTTTCCAGCCGGTGGCTTTCTCAGTCCAATACAGATTGACGGACTGAACACATCACCTCCAGGCTGAGGGACTGATTACCTCAAACACCTCATCTACCATCATTCTCCTCTATATTGGACTAAGGAAGCCACTGGCTGGAGAAACATTTCCACAATAAAGATAGCCCAATGTAGCACAAGTGTCTCATTCATTAAGTTGTCAGCTTTTTAAACCATATACTACTGTATATAATGCTTGATGGTGTTGTGACTTAATAAGAGTTCAGGATGGGTCAAAATATTATCTGAAAATTTAGCACCAATTTGTAGGTTAGCTGTGATTTGTTCCAGCCACAATATTTCTAGTTTTTTTCTTCTAATGAAGATGTATAACTATGCAAACACAAATTTATTTATTTTCTGCAGTATAAGGGTAATGCAGTTTACATGTAATAAAATATTGTTAGGCACAAAAGAAAGCAATTAGCATGTGGAACAATTTGGGCAGACTGGGGTGAATGAAGCAGTAAGTAAGCATTTCTTATTGTTTCAGGAGATGGCGGTGAGGTCCTCAGCCACAGCTTGTGCCCCGATCACATCCCACAACACCTCTGGTGGGTCCATTAGCAACCTAGCCAGCTGTTCCATAGGGGAGAGCATAAGTGGGGGTGGCAAGTCAGAGGGGGGTGGGGGCACCTTGGCAGAGAAGCTCCATGGCCTCACTGAGAAGTTCTCCTCTCTTGGACACAACACCTCTGATTCTGAGGCCTCCACTCATACCAGAACTGGTATATTGCTACTCAGGTTTCTTTTTTCACTTTGATTTCATGCTACTCAGGTTATTTTTTTTGCTGATTTTATGCACCCAGATTTCATTTTTTTTTTCACTTTGATTCCATGGTATTTTTTTTGGTTTGATTTCATGCTTATTTCTATTGCTCAGTAATTATTTTTATTTCAGCACTCCTATCTTCAGTTACACCAAACATGTTCCATCTGCTTCTTCCATATGCTCTATATTACCTTTTTGTTTTTATTTTTACTGCTCTCTCTTTATGTTTCACTAATCTTATTTTTTTTTTTAATATTGGATTGTGTTCTACTTATATTTAATTTATTGCTTAAATTTGGTGGTTACCTTTCACATCTTCCTTTACCTTCTTTAATACTAGTTACTTTCCTCTACATCACCTTGTCCTTCAGTATTCCTTATGACTTTTTGTAATTACTGTCTTGAATAGTGGAAATTATGTCATTATTAATATGTATAATTTTAACACATTAATGGTTTCTCACCAAGCAGCATAATCCAAATATTCAAAGTCATTTGTTCTTTGGCTGCCTTTCCAGAAGAGCACAGATATCATGCTTCAGCATTGATCCATTGAACTACTGCAGCATCAACATCTGGGTGGCCACTTTATTTCCCACTTCCAAAATTTAAGTCTGACTGGCTAGTTTTCCCTGATTCACTCCATATATACAACCATGCTAACATTTTAACTAAATGTTATTTCATAAAGATCATTCATCTTCGTTTACTCCAATCTTAACATGCTTATGTTGGGGACCATAGCTATACTTCAAGCTATTTTTGACTAAAATACTTATGTAAAATCATGTTTTACAGGTAGATGCCAGTGGAAAGTGTCATGACATGTAAAAATATCTTGGTTATTTTATCTATGATATTTAATATTCCATGATAGAAAGTTTTTGAGGCAGAAATATCCAAATTATTAAAAGTAAATTGTCCAAAATCTCAGCACTTGTCCAAATACATCAGACAGCGTGAGGCTCGGGACTCTGAGTTGTTTTAGATCCCTGTACAGTAGTATTTTTTAAAAACAATACTCTTTGGGACTTTTTTATATGGTATTCTGTACTTGAAAGTTCTTTATGCTCATCATTATCACTTCTAATTTTCCAACAACACTGTACAGTACACTCTTTTCATTTTGTAATAATTTGTGTTAGGTTAAATATCTTTATTATGCACTGCATACCCATTCTGCGGGTGGTAGTCAAAATATTACAGTGGCACATGATGGGTCCAAGGACTGGATCACAAGGTTCTAATAACTAAACTAGTTACAGTGGTAATGAACTGTTTATCTTAATACAAACACAATCTTCATCTGGTGTTCCCATTAAAGGAGGTTCCTTAATGCCAGTAAGGAGTTCTTGTTCTAAGAATTGGGCCTACTGTCCCCTTCCTTGGGAATGAATCTGAATGCCTCCCAGTACCTTGGGTGTTTATGACCCCTATGGGTTTAGTGCTCCCCCATAAATACTGTAAAATAATAATAATTCATCTGGTGTGTTATTAAAAAATTCAGCATCAACATAGGTTATTTTTTCATCTTTCAAGCCTTGATGCTACTGAAGGGTTCTTGTAAGAAATTTGAACTACCCTGATTATCTCCCATTCCCTGGCCCCTGTAAGTTTAGCACTTCCCATGAATATAATAATAATAATAACACTGCTCAGCCAGGTACAATTCTGTATCTCTGTCTCCTGCTTTGACTTTCAGCATTAACAAATTTGTAAATTGTAAATGAAACCTAAAGTATGTTTCTCTCTGTCGTAGGTCATTACAGGAAAGCCCCACTTTACAGTGCTTTGCTTTACAGCATTTTACTAATACAATGGTATTAGCAAAATGGGTATGATACAATTATACCCATTCTTCATTTATTCAGACTTCCTACAATAAATATATTCACCACTCACTATAAGCTAAGGATGAAAATATTTTAAGGTAAGTAATGTGTGTACTGTATATGCATTTTTTAGTCTTAGCTATACTGCTCACTTGATAAATGATAGTGTAAACATGTTATCAGGCTTCTATATGCATTTGAAAGTGAAAAAAAAAAAAGCTATGATTCACTTTACAGCAGTAGCCCAGAACTTAACCTGCTGGATAAGTGGGTTAGTTCTGACAAGAAAATCAGAAGTCATGTCAAAGTACTGTAGTAGGAGGTGAGATAGCCAAGGTCAGGAAAGATAAGAGATAAGATAAGATTTCGTTCGGATTTTTAACCCCGAAGGGTTAGCCACCCAGGATAACCCGAGAAAGGCAGTGGCATCATCAAGGACTGTTTGCCTTATTTCCATTGGGGTCCTCAATCTTGTCCCCCAGGATGCAACCCACACCAGTCGACTAACACCCTGGTTCCTATTTGCTGCTAGGTGAACAGAACAACAGGTGTAAGGAAACACGTTGAAATGTTTCTACCCCGCCGGGAATCGAACCTGGGCCCTCCGTGTGTGAAGCGAGAGCTTTAGCCACCAGGCCAACATACTGGGAGAAGCAAATATCTTCAGATACAAAACTGGGGCTAACATTCTTGTTAGAGATCCTGTATATGATGGCCACTTAGTAGCATCTTGTTAAGTCAGTCATCATACACATCAGTAACTTGAATGTTAACCTTGGCTTTGGTTTTGGAGATATTTGCAAATATGTGCTAGCACATTGCCAGATACCTCTCTTTATACCTTCCACCGCTTTGACCAGACTTCAGATGTTCTCTCTTACACAGATGCAAACCTGATAACTGTCTAAAATTGATTTATCAGTCTATTTTTCTTTGCACTATGTGCATTTGCTGTGAAATTTCCCAGTCACATTACTGGGACTTATTATTTATCTCTAATCATCTAAGCTTCATCAAATCAAATTAAAACATGATGAAAATTCATTTTTATAAGCAAATATTTTTCCCACAACAGTGACTAGTTCACCCCTCTCCTTTGATGTTGTTTGGTGAGCTTGAAGAGGGACTTTTTCTTGTACGTAATTAATTTTGGATGTTAACTAATGGTGTTGCAACCAGTTTCATCCAAACAGAATACAGTATGCAAACCACTTTGTAGCAATATACATGTATGTAAAGAACTTATTCCAGTTTAATTTGAAACATATACAGTAATCATTCTTACTAGTGATAGTTGCTCTCAAGTTGCTTTGTGAGATTCTATCTCACAAAATATTGTTGGTTAATCTCTTCCAGCTGGTTCATTTGTTCTAGCTCTCCTCTACACCATTGTTTCTTACAACTTATTCCTACACTAATCTTTTCTTTAATTTCATAATAAGGCCATAATGTTTGAATTGTTTTAGCTATTATTCTAGACTGGTTTTCATATCTTAATTTAAAACTTGTTTACTGGTAAAAGAAAAGGCTAGTAGATGAGCTTGAGTAAGGTGTATAGTTTTACATATGCACTCTTCACTAGTGCTTTTTGGGACCATATATAACTACATATTCACTCCTCACCAGTGTTCTTTGGGACCACATGCAATATTAACAGCAGTTTGCCTTGCTTAACACCTGCAAATTAATAAATATTTTGTTATTTTTGAGCAGTGACATAAGTGGTAGATGTTGTCATAATAAAAAAATTCTCTTTTTGGAGTGCGTGCCTGGCCAGTGCTCCATCTGAAAATGGACTGTCCAAAGAGTCTCACTGTCTGAAGCATCCCTATCATCACTCTTCTGAATTTTCAGGTCCTGACCTCAGAATACCTCTTCCCCAAAATTTATATGAACTCTTTACATAATTTTTTTTTCATAATGTGTCATAACCATATAAGAGTGTTGACACCACTGTACTCAAATACGTTTCCCTGTTTTGTATCAGTTGACAAACTTCTTTCGTGCCACACATTCTAAAACACTTGTAACTTTATTTCCCTTATTTATTATGTGATTTATCTCATCCTTCATATATGTGCTACATTAATATAGTATACACTAACGCAGTGGGTCATATAGTATTCGTAAGAAGCAAGGTATGCATTGCTTACCTTATAAAATTCTTCCTTCATAATTAAAAATATCACTGTTTATTTAATATGCTGTTGGAGTGTCAGCAAGGTAACATTTATGAAGGGATTCAGGGAAACTGGTTAGCTGGACTGGAGTGCTGGAGGTGGGAAGTTCAGTGCTTGCACTCTTGAGGAGGGGTGATGATGTTGCAGTTTGGAAAGTCAACTGAACTGTGATGGTGTCATGTGCTTCTAGCAAGACAGCAGTTGAATGAATGTCCTTGAATGTGTTCTCTTTTTTTTTTTGGATTGCCTACATTAGTGGATGACCAATGTGTTAAAAATTATTAATTGTATACAGCACTTTACATTTTTGTTATTTATTTACCACTTTAAAATCTGTCCCTGCAGTATGCAACACTTGATCTGCAGTAGCCTCTTTTGCTCTTTTGCAGGTTAAAATAACATGCCACTGCTAGACGTAGCATGAAAACTATTAATTTAAATTATAAAAACCAATTTTTTTCCTAAATTCTTATAAATAAAATTGAGACCACTCTAATATACTACATACTCTTTAAAGTATTTTGATGCTGACATTTTCCCTCATTAATATTTGTCATCATCACTCAGAAGAATTTCTTTTGCTAGAGATCTGGGCACAGAGAGCCGAGCATACTCCTGGTTGTCCCTACCTCTCCTATGAGTGTATCTTCTATGAGTCCGGCTTTTTGTTTTGGAACAAATTGAAATTGACTCCAGAAATTCACAAGGTTAAGAAAAATTGCAAAGCTTAGCCTTTCTGTTAATTGTTACATTATTCTAAATTTTCAGAGCGAGCCAGAATTTTATGGTAGAATTAGTATTGATCATTTTGCTTGAAAGCCAAGATGAATTCTATTGAATTATGTTGAAAATTATAAGATTACACTGTAAATAGTATTTTATGCTAGTACAGTACAGGTACTTCCTATTTTTTCCTAAAGGTATAAATAAAAACAAATAAAAATTGAAATGTAAATGAATTTTATTTTCACATAGAGACTGGGATAGTTACAAATATGAATAGCCACAAAAACAATAGTTACAAATAAATACATGCTATTTGAAAGCAGAGCTTTTCTGGCATGCTAAAACTGAGATCAGTAGGACTTAAAATTAAGAAAAGAAAGAAAGAAACAGATAAAAAAAACTAGGATATAGGTAAGGTTTGGATTGTCTGAAAGTTAATATTAGTACGTGTATATGCAAATATGTATTGAAGAAGAAGCTGGCAGTCAGTTTTGGAAAAAAATTATTAGATGTTCAAAATAGGTGACTTCAGCTTTATCAAAAAGCTAACGGATCATTTACTTGCTCCTGGCATTTCTTCAGACTACACTTCAGTGTACTGCATGAATGAGCTGCTATATCTCAGTTGATAACCTGCAACTCTGCCTTGACAAAGTTAAGGGAAAATTATTTCAGTATCCTAGCCCATTAATGGTCAGTCTCAGACAGTGTTATAATATAGTACATGTATGTACTGTACTTTGTCTTCATATACAGAAACACAGAAAAAACAGGAAATATTTTTCATAATTTTTTTTAACACATCAGCCATTTCCCACCTAGGCAAATATATTATTGTCATTGCAGGTAGTTTAGGGGCATGCATCCACCCGCTGGTGACTGTGACTCAGACGCACAGTTACACTGATGGTAAAATGGAAAAGAGTACCGATTCCTCACCATCACACTCCCAGGTGTCACGATCATCCTCAAAGAAATCCAACAACTCCCTTCTTGTTACCAATGGGAAGCTGGAAGGTAAAATCCAATCACAGAAATATGTTGTCAAAAGTTATAATATATATAGCATTCTATGTATATTTTATTACATTTTTTACAGATTTACATATTTTTTTACAGATTTGAATCTGTTTATGCTTTGTGACTGATATAGAATATTTACATCTAGTACAGGATCTAAAATGTTCTTGACAATTTATATAACTTCATTAGATGATGACTGTAAACCATTAATCAGTGCCATATCAAATATTGATACTGATCTTATATTCCCATAATATGAGAGAGAGATATCTTCAGCTTTCAGTACCTGAAAGGCAACTCTAGAGATAGTGTTACAAACTGAAATTAAAGATGTGCAGTAATACTAAGATCGGAGGTTAATAAAATTGCTAAATCACATGAAGATTTATATTTTATTTAATTAAGTGGATATAATACAGAGAGCAAAGGCTAATAAATTATATAATATGATGAAGATTTTTATATTATTTCATTAAGCATTAAACCTGTGTAGGTCATTCAACACGAGGATAGCTCAAGAAAGCCAAGAAAGGTAGTTTATTTTCATTTGGTGGCCATTGATCTTCTTTCCCAGGATGTGTCCCATATATGTACTGTTAAGGGAAACAGGGACAGCAAGAGTAAGGAAACCTGCCCATACATTTTGAATTGCCTGGTGTTTGAACTCGGGGTCCTTTTGTCGTGATTCAAATGCACTACCACTAAGTGGTGAGTTGCATGAATATACAAAATAAAAAGTGATATTGAAGTGGAATTAAACCCCTAAACCAAATAGTAGAATAAATAAAGAGATTACTACTGTAGAGTAAATAAAGAGATTACTACTGTATTGGATATTAATGAAATAAAGTAGGACAATGAGATATCACTTTGGGTTTTAGAGGATGTGTAGAAGAACCAAACTGTCTTTTCATTTTATTTTTTTCTGGGAAGACTAAGACTGTAAACTGTCAGACAAAGAGAAAAATCATTGTGGCAATATTTAATATAAGCAATAATGAAAATATTTTAAATTATAGGTATTTTTTCACTAACAAGTGTTGTTCTCAAAAGACTAGATAAGCCTATTAGTGAAAAGCTGAGAAAATATTTGGAGTGCAAAAACCTTTTATTTAACAGTTGTACTTCAGGTCAGTCAAAATCTGTACTGTACATCTACTACTCTAGTGGTCTGCTCTGTCATATTTATTACACAAAAAAATGGATAGGTAGACTCTGTATATTTGGATTTAAAAAGCTTTTAATGGACCTCATGAACAGCTAATCATATAAGTGATTTAATCACCTGTGTAAAATAAACATAGTGACAGGCAGGAGCACCACAGGCACAATAAAAGAATAATGTCAGTATTTACGGCCCAAGTTTTTTCTGCCTGCTATCAGCAGATCTCAGAAATATTTCTGAAACTAATGTAAGAATCTTTGAGAAGAAACTGGATCACTATCTACACCAAGTGCCAGATCAACCAGACTGTCGGCTGTATGGGCTAAAGGGTCAGTAACAGCAATGCCTGGCTGAACGTATTATACATGGAAGCTTGGAGGATAGCAAAAATTACAAACTCACCCCACGTATCTTCCCAAACACCTACATGTGTATCATTAGATTAAAGGTATACATTACTGACAGATTGAAGAATTAGACACATGCAACATACAACACATGCAACACCTTGGTATCTTCCTTGGAGATACATACCGAGATTCAAGAAGAAATCTAGGTACAGAAGATATCTTCTACAACTCTTTTTACTGGTAAGACACATATGCAACAGTTAGGTATCTTTATTTCGAAACGTTTCACCTACACAGTAGGCTTCTTCAGTCGAGTACAGAAAAGTTGATAGAAGCAGAAGAGACATGAAGATGATGTAATCAGTCCATCACCCTTAAAGTTTTGAGGTGGTCAGTCCCTCAGTCTGGAGAAGAGCATTGTTCCGAAGTCTGAAACAATGTTTCAGACTTTGTACCAAAGTCTGAAACAATGTTTCAGACTTCGGAACAATGCTCTTCTCCAGACTGAGGGACTGACCACCTCAAAACTTTAAGGGTGATGGACTGATTACATCGTCTTCAAGTCTCTTCTGCTTCTATCAACTTTTCTGTACTCGACTGAAGAAGCCTACTGTGTAGGCGAAACGTTTCATAATAAAGATACCTAACTGTTGCATATGTGTCTTACCTAACAGAAGAGGGGTTGTTGAGGTGGTTTGGTCATTTAGAGAGAATGGATCAAAGTAGAATGACATGGAAAGCATATAAATCTATAGGGGAAGGAAGGCGGGGTAGGGGTCGTCCTCAAAAGGGCTGGAGAGAGGGGGTAAAGGAGGTTTTGTGGGCAAGGGGCTTGGACTTCCAGGAAGAGTGCATGAGCGTGTTAGATACGAGTGAATGGAGACGAATGGTACTTGGGACCTGACGATCTGTTGGAGTGTGAGCAGGGTAATATCTAGTGAAGGGATTCAGGGAAACTGGTTATTTTCATATAGTCGGACTTGAGTCCTGGAAATGGGAAGTACAATGCCTGCACTTTAAAGGAGGGGTTTGGGATATTGGCAGTTTGGAGGGATATGTTGTGTATCTTTATATGTGTATGCTTCTAAACTGTTGTATTCTGAGCACCTCTGCAAAAACAGTGATAATGTGCGAGTGTGGTGAAAGTGTTGAATGATGATGAAAGTATTTTCTTTTTAGGGATTTTCTTTCTTTTTTGGGTCACCCTGTCTCGGTGGGAGGCGGCCGACTTGTTGAAAAAAAAAAAAAAATATATGTATATATGTATAATATATATATATATATATATATATATATATATATATATATATATATATATATATATATATATATATATATATATATATATATACACACACACACACATACACACTTACTAAATTTAAAAAGAGAAACTTTCGTTTTTCTTTTTGGGCCACCCTGCCTTGGTGGGATACGAATGGTTTGTTGAAAAAAAAAAAAAATATACACACACAGGAGGAGAGACAACAAGAAATGACCGTGAAGTATGTGAGGAACTCAACAAGAGATTCAAAGAAGTGTTCACAGAGGAGACAGAAGGGGCTTCAGAAAGACGGAGATGTGGGGGTGCACCACCAAGTGCTGGACGCAGTACACACAACCGAGGAAGATGTGAAGAGGCTTCTGAGTGAGCTAGATACCTCAAAGGCAATGGGGCCGGATAACATCTCTCCATGGGTCCTGAGAGAGGGAGCAGAGGTGATGTGTGTACCCCTAACAACAATATTCAATACATCTATTGAAACAGGGAGATTGCCTGAGGCATGGAAGACAGCAAATGTAGTCCCAATCTTTAAAAAAGGAGACAAACATGAAGCACTAAACTACAGACCAGTGTCACTGACATGTATAGTATGCAAAGTCATGGAGAAGATTATCAGGAGAAGAGTGGTGGAACACCTAGAAAGGAATGATCTCATCAACAGCAGCCAACATGGTTTCCGGGATGGGAAATCCTGTGTCACAAACCTACTGGAGTTCTATGACATGGTGACAGCAGTAAGACAAGAGAGAGGGGTGGGTGGATTGCATTTTCTTGGACTGCAAGAAAGCATTTGACACAGTTCCAAACAAGAGATTAGTGCAAAAACTGGAGGACCAAGCAGGGTTAACAGGGAAGGCACTACAATGGATCAGGAAATACTTGTCAGGAAGACAGCAGCGAGTCATGGTACGTGGCGAGGTGTCAGAGTGGGCACCTGTGACCAGCGGGGTCCCACAGGGGTCAGTCCTAGGACCAGTGCTGTTTCTGGTATTTGTGAATGACATGACGGAAGGAATAGACTCCGAAGTGTCCCTATTTGCAGATGAGAAGAATTCATTCGATCGAAGACCAGGCAGAACTACAAAGGGATCTGGACAGGCTGCAGACCTGGTCCAGCAATTGGTTCCTGGAGTTCAACCCCACCAAGTGCAAAGCCATGAAGATTGGGGAAGGGCAAAGAAGACCACAGATGATATACAGTCTAGGGGGCCAGAGACTACAAACATCACTCAAGGAAAAAGATCTTGGGGTGAGTATAACACCAGGCACATCTCCTGAAGCGCACATCAACCAAATAACTGCTGCAGCATATGGGCGCCTGGCAAACCTCAGAACAGCATTCCGACATCTTAATAAGGAATCGTTCAGGACCCTGTACACCGTGTACGTTAGGCCCATATTGGAGTATGCGGCACCAGTTTGGAACCCACACCTAGCCAAGCATGTAAAGAAACTAGAGAAAGTGCAAAGGTTTGCAACAAGACTAGTCCCAGAGCTAAGAGGTATGTCCTATGAGGAGAGGTTAAGGGAAATCAACCTGACGACACTGGAGGACAGGAGAGATAGGGGGGACATGATAACGACTTACAAAATACTGAGAGGAATTGACAAGGTGGACAAAGACAGGATGTTCCAGAGACTGGACACAGTAACAAGGGGACACAGTTGGAAGTTGAAGACACAGATGAATCAAAGGGATGTTAGGAAGTATTTCTTCAGCCACAGAGTAGTCAGGAAGTAGAATACATAGTTTGGGAAGTGATGTAGTGGAGTCAGGATCCATACATAGCTTTAAGCAGAGGTACGATAAAGCTCATGGTTCAGGGAGAGTGACCTAGTGGCGACCAGTGAAGAGGCGGGGCCAGGAGCTTGGACTCGACCCCTGCAACCTCAACTAGGTGAGTACACCCACCCACCCACTCACTCTCACTATTGATACTGTTTGGTCAAAGAAATTCAGGGTCTAGCTAATTTTCCCACCAGACAGATTTTGAAAGATATCTTAAAATGATGAAGGCTACATATCATGTGGAAGGAATGATTAAAAGTCTGACTGGTGAAAAAAGTCATATCTTCTCTCTTAAGTCCAGTTGTAGTACAGTATGTCTTGCACTCTTACATTTTGTAATGTCTTAATCTTTTATCGTTGTTCCTTATCTCACACTTTCATCTAGCTATGTCACAATTTTTCATCTGCATGTTATGCCTAATTTCCTCATGCCTTGCTTTAATTTCTTGGTTTGTTCCTCTCTCAGTATTATTTTAATTTCTTTGATCTTTACCATGTAGTACTTGTTTACTTTTTCTAATATCCCCTTGTATTTAACTGGTGACTGTCATATTCTTTGATCTTTACTATGTAGTACTTGCTTACTTATTCTAATATCCCCTTGTATTTAACTTGTGACTATCTCATTTTCATATTTTCACATCTTATGCTTTTCATTGTGAATTTATCATATCTGTCTTACTTTCTTTTTCCCTACATCAGACATGAAGCACTTAGTAAGAAAGTCAAGCAGTATCGAGGTCCACACAGTACGGGTCAACCTCAAAGATATTATATGTTACCTGACGCTACTTGAAGGTGCTCGGCCAGAGGACAAATTAGAGTGTGAGTACTTTCATGTCCCACGCCTGCTGCTGCTGCATGTTTGAATCTTCGTATATGTTACTCTTTATCTACTATACACTAAGCCCACACCTGTAAGGAAAGTTTAATTTCTTCACACTTCTTCACACATTGTCCATTACTAACTACAGAAAAGTCTCCCAGACTCTTAAAGGACAAGCTTGAGGCTTTTCTGCATATGAGGATTGTGTGTATGCTTGCGTCTTTAATCATAATTTATCATAATATTGTAGTTCAGTTTTTTTTTTTTTTTGGACAAACTGGCCATCTTGCACCGAGGCAGGGTGACCCAAAAGAGAAGAAACTCTTTCATCACCATTCACTCCATTGCTCTCTAGTCAGAGGGGTGCCAATACTATAGTTCAAAACTGCAAATATCACCATTAACCCTTTCAGGGTTTTCGACGTACTAGTACAGCTTACGCACCAGGGTTATTAACGTACTAGAATGCCTAAATTCTAGTACACCTTCAAATCTAGCAAAAGAAAGCTGGTAGGCCTACATATGAAAGAATGGGTCTATGTGGTCAGTGTGTGCAGTATAAAAAAAATCCTGCAGCACACAGTGCGTAATGAGAAAAAAAACTTTGACCGTGTTTTTGGATTAAAACAGCAACTTTGCACTGTATTTTCGTATGGTATTTATGGTTATATTCTAGTTTTTCTCATCTTATTTTATAGAATGGAAGACATATTACAGAAATTGAGATGATTTTGATTGGTTTCACAATGAAAAGTACCTTGAAATTGAGCTCAAAATAGCAGAAATGTTCGATTTTTACCAAAGTTCAAAAGTAAACAAATCATGCCAAGCATCCAATACACGTCAACTGGTGAGTCTAATATTCCTTCACAAGTGCGCTGATATTATTTATACCATTTCTACACTAATGCAGTAGTCTGCATAACAGTAAATCTTCTAATTTTTGTGAGAATAAAAATTCAAAGTGGAAAGCAAAAGAAATACAAGAGGGGCCTGGGGACATGATGAACGAACAGAGAACTTGTTATTTTAGTGCCAGGAATGTCTGTCTTGTTTATTTTGGACCCTATTTGGAAATTGGCATTTTTTGAAATTTGTATGAAATTGGCAAAATTGTCGATTTCTAACCACTTTATTGGATAGTTGAAATTAGTAAATGGGTGGTTTCTTGTACTCATTTGATAGAAAAAAATGTTGTTCTAGCAAAATAAATATGATTTTTGTCAACTAGCACACAGTAACTGGTCGAAAATAGGGCTCAAAGTGGGCGAAATCGCCAATGCATAAACATCGGCGAGACCGCTAACTTCGCAAGAGCATAATTCCGTAAGTTTTCCATAAAATTTCATACTTTTGGTGTCATTATGATCGGGAAAAGATTCTCTATTATTTCATAAGAAAAAATAATTTTTTTTTTCCAAAAAATTTTCAACCCTGAGGACAAGTTTAGGAGAGGGCCCCTCGACCCTGAAAGGGTTAAATAAGATGATACTATTCAAAATTAAATTGCATAAAAAGATCAGACACTATTTATAATAAATATGTCAAAGATAATATTGTGTTGGAAGCTTCATCTTTTTTAGCATTATAATATGATGTGTCTCATGGAAAGAGGCTGTAAAACTGACAAGCTGATAAAAGCACATTGTGGAAGAATGGAAACTTATACATCTATATACTTATGCTTACTGTATATTCTCTGTAGAGTTAGAAAAGCTGTCTCCAAGCAGAATGTTATGAATTGTGTCACTTAAAATGTTTTGAAACTGCTTGTTTGGTGGCTGTTTTACTTTTTTGTATAAAATATGATTTAAAAACTTGCAACTAAAATTGTGCTTTCCAGATAATTAAGAGTTTCCTATATGGACTGTAACTGATTTTTGAATAAGTGAAACCTACTCTATCTTGGTAAAAAAACTGAACAATCCATTGCTATCAAAAAGGTACAGAGTATTGTACTTGAATCTGTTGGCATAATAACATGACTGAAAAAGATTTATACTAAGCAAAGTCTCTAAAATAACAAAAAGGTATTCCTTAGTCCTAACCAGGATAATTATCATAGAAGACTTAAGCAGGCCTGTTATGAAAAGAAAGTTAGGAAACAAAATGATAAGAAGTGTAGATAAAGATTTCCCAGTACCATCAACAGGAAGACCAGCAGATCACAGTTATGAACTGTGTACGTATATAAAGGATATTCTGGTATATAAAGGATGCTCTGAATTTTTTTTCCTCATGGAATGTTAGAATGGTAGAATGGAATACAAGTATAGGTACTGAATGCTATGCCTGGGACACCACACTGCTCCTCTATTTACAAATAGGTAATTACACAATCCGTTCTTTTGCAGCTAATAAAAACAAAAATAAATACTAACCATATGAATTTGTTTATAATCATTACAATACAATAGAACCTCATCTTACATTGTTCTGAATTTCAAATATTTTAATTCTGGAGCCAGGATAATAACTTATGAATGTTGATCTGTAGTCATGATTGTCCTAAATATTCAAATAAATTATTTTCAGTAATATTTTCACTTTTTTTATTCACAAAATTCATATTTGAGTATGTTCATTTTATGTATATGTGGAAAGTTTCTGTTTGTTTTGTAAAAATTGGTCAGTAGCTACATCATTTAAAAATTATACTTTTGTTAATGTTAAATTATATTTATTTTTCTTACTTTTACTACATAATGAATTTTTTTCTTAATACATCGGCTGTTTACCACCAAGGCAAGGTGACCCAAAAAGAAAGAAAAACCCAAAAAGAAAGAAAAAACTTTCATCATCATTTAACATTTTCACCATCACTCTTTGCCAAGGGTCTCAGTTGTGACAGTTTAGATGCCCCTCCAAACTGCCAATATCCCAAACCCCTCCTTTAAAGTGCAGGCATTGTATTTCCCACTTCTAGGACTCAAGTCTGGCTAATTGGTTTCCCTGAATCCCTTCACAAAATATTACCCTGCTCATGTGTTCGATTATTTGTTTAGTAGAGATTAGTCCTGTAGCTTGGTTGGCAGTGCACTCAGATCACACATTGAGGTCCATGGTTTGATCCCTGGTATGGGTGGAAACAATAGGACATGTATCCTTGAGACACCTGCTGTGCCTGTTCACTTAGCAGTAAATAGATACCTGGGTGTTAGCTGACTGGCGTGGGTCACATCCTGGGGACAAAATTAACCAAGTTGCTCAAAATGCTCTGCATAACCAGGGGCTTTCTATATAGAATGTCATTGATGTCAGCTATGGTCTGTATAAGTTGTATCATGTACTTGTAGAAATAAAAATTATTATTAAGAGCTATAGATTTGCAAAATAGGTGTTATTTGGCAGTGGGTGTTTGCTTGTTATCAGTGGGTAGTGGTTGAGGTGAGGAGGTGGAAACTCAGCTTACACCAGCACCCACCCTCCCTCCCTCCCTTCTAGCCTAGGCACACTAACATTAACTTCACCTTATATCCAAGCACCTTATTTTTTTTTTAACACGCTGGCCATCTCCCATTGAGGCAGGGAGATCCGAGAAACAAACATTTTCACAATCATTCACCCATCACTGTCTTGCCAGAGGTGCACAGCCTTATATCGTCACCGTATCAGTGAGTAGCAGTACAGGAAGGGGTAAAGTGTATGGCATTAGGTGTGGTGCTGGAGGTAGATACAGTGTGGGAGTGGAGTAAAGTGTAGAGTGGTATTGGGAATGTGGGACAGGAATACAGTGGAAGGAGATCAGAGATCAAATGTGAAGTGTTGTGTTAGATACAGTGGGAATGAGGGAGGGAATGGGAAGAGGTTGAAGGAAGAAGAGAGAGAGAGACTTTTAACTATAGCTCATTGTTTTTACTTTCATTATTTAAAATGTATGAAATTTGATACAGATTATAGCTCAGGAATTCATCTTAAATATTAACATGGGTTCTGAGTTCCAAACAATCAACCTATGAATGTGTCTTAGGAACACATTTTCTTACCAGAAGTACTAATAATAACACTGGTTTTTGCAAGGGTGTAATTTACTGTATTTTCCTGAACTTCATACCCATTTACACTATTTCATCAAAAGTTTCTGCATACTAATGTACTACTTCTTATGGTTTGTTTTCACAGTTATGTTTCGCCTCTATGACACTGATGGCAACGGTGTCCTTGATACTAATGTGAGTACTCTAAATTACCCACTTTTTGTTCCCACTCTCACTCTGTGATATTTCAATAGGGTTTGATACATTACAAATATAGGAATTGGTAATACATCAGATGATTAAACACTTTTTAAAATATATCTGTAAAATCAGCTTTTACAGTTAGACTCATTTGGAGTGTGTAACAGCATATGTACATCTTGGCTAGTTTTATGTTAAATTTTTAATATTACATCATTTTAGCTCTAAAAAATGACTTCTCACTTGAATCATTCTTTCTGTTCACTTCCATTTTTAGATTGGACCATCAAAAATGTTAAGAGTATTTTACAAAAAAAAAATTCTCAATTTTCTTAATACAGTATAGGTAAAATTTTATATATACAAAGGGCTCTACCAAAGGAAACATATTGAGATGAGTATGTTGATATGATTTTTTTTATATTTTTGCAGTCTTTGTATTGAACTCTTTCACCCCACAGGAAATGGATTGCATAGTGAACCAAATGATCCAAGTAGCTGACTACCTCGACTGGGATGTTACTGAACTCAGACCAGTGAGATACAGTTTTCTTAAACTACTCTATAGGCCTATCCTTCTTTATATACTAATACATTGTTCAAATAACTGACTTCATCTAATTATTTATCATCTGTCTGAAACATGTCTTACTAAATCTCTTACTAAACAATTAAAAATTCCCCCTTTGTCATTTATCTCTGGCACTTTAAGCTTTCTTACTGTACTGTAGATTGTGTTCCTTTAGTTATGATAATTCCATTATAACCTTACCTAACCTGACCTTTAATTTTGATAATGGCATTATAAGCTAATTTAACCTGACCTTCAGTTTTTGTTATGACCTTATATTCACTACAATGCTATTGTTGTCATTGCAGTTTGTTATTTTCAGCTTTCATTAGCATTAGAGTGTTATGATAATGAAAATAACTTGATATAAGAGTAATGCAATGTTCATTCTCAAATATCTTGTACTCATGAAGTGAGTTTGTTCTATGTCCTCACAGATACTGACAGAAATGATGGCTGAGATAGACTATGATAATGATGGCACAGTGTCACTTGAAGAGTGGAAAAGAGGAGGGATGACAACGATTCCTCTGCTGGTGCTCCTTGGTCTAGACACGGTAAGCGGAAAAGGAGGTAATGTAGATGGAAGGGTGAGGATGTGATGTTCATGAGTAGGGAAGGGCAAGGTGGTGCTGGTGAGTGGGGAAGGGAATAGGTGGTGACTGTGAAGGGTGAAAACCTGCATTGATTAGTGTGAGATTAGAAAGGTAATGTTGGTGAATAGGGTAACTGGGTAATGGGGTGAGAGAGAGTTTTGTTGTGGGCGAATTAAGAAAGAAAGTTGTATTGTTGAAGATGGGATGAGAAAATTTTGTTTTTGTGGGTGAGGTGAGAGAGAAAGGTATGTTGCCATGAGTATGGTGAAAGAGAGTTGTGTTGTCATGGGTGTGGTGAGAGAAAGTTCTGTTGTGGGTGAAGAAAGTTTTCCTCTCTCACTTTATTATCTGTGGACATAAATAATATGAGATGTTGTGCAGCAGAAAAGAATAAGTGCTAAATTCAAGCAATAGAGAAAAACACAGTTAAAGGAGAGCTCAAAACTATGATGTTCAAATTACCATACTTTGTTATGGGACTCTGAGCCTAACTTAAAAATACAGAAGACAATATCTGCACATTCCCAGACACAGATGAAACATTGAGGAATTGATTTATTCACTAGTCTGGATTTTGGTTATGGTGGTGTTTATTCTTTTCTGCCGCTTATCCCTTTATACATTGCCCACATATGACTGTATCTGCTAAAAGAATTTATGAAGCTTAAACCTAAGGGTTCCACTTATCCCTTCTGATGCTTTAATTTAATCTCTGCTTGGGTAAACATATTTTCTCTACAATCTGACGTTAAGTGAACCTTTTAAGTGCAAGCAATACTTTAAAAAACTGAAAATATTTGGATCTAATGACAATTAAAAAATATCTAATCACTTACAAGCAAATTATGCACAAATGCATTATATTAAGAAAGCTTTATTTCATTATATCAATAATAGTTTCAGAAACAAATGAGTTACACACTAACAGTAGCTGTACTAATGACTACAGTCATCTTGAGTCATCTTCAAATTGTTGATCATTGTTCATAAGATGATAATTTAACAAAGGAAATTCACTTCATCTTAACAAGCAGAAAATTAATGTTTCTCCGACGAATGTTGAGGAGAAGCAAGCCAGTAAACTTTTTTAAATTTTATGGAAGAATTAATGAATTAGAACTACATATTTATCTTACAGCTTGAGGAGTATTTTTATACTAACTAAAATATATCTTATTTTGTGTATCAGGGACGGAGAGGTGTGGTAATTAGATTTGATCCAAGAAATGGGGATAACTTAAATTCCTTGGATCATCAGCCTTCTGCCAGCACTGAAGCATCTTTCTTAAAGGGACTTATTAGTAATTATTTTGTTGACAAATTTTGGGTAGTTGGAAAAAAAAAAATTCTATTTTTTTTTTTTTAGAATATGAAGGAAGATGGGAATCACGTGTGGCGACTAAAACACTTCAACAAGCCAGCCTACTGCAATTTGTGTCTAAACATGCTGATGGGTCTTGGCAAAAAGGGTCTTTCTTGTGTCTGTGAGTAGTTAGTTGCTTAGCTTGAAAGTCTTTTAACTGCATGAGGCTCATTTATGCCACAGTACATCTAGACACTAAAATATAAGGTGTTCTGGTGCAGTATATGCACTGAGAGATACACACCTCTCTATATAAATACTGAGAGATACACACCTCTCAGTGTATATGTCCTGAGAGGTACACGTCTCACTGTACTTATATATATACACCTCAGTGTATAAACAGAGTGAGAGAGAAAAAGAGAGACAGACACAACAAACAGACAGACAGACTGACTACATACCTACCTACCTCTTGCTGTATGCGGTATACATAGAGATACACACCTTTAGGTTTATATTCTCTGAGAGATGACATATACTGACAGTTGTGAGTGTCAGGATTGTATACATAATATAATCCCTAAATATATGCACTAGTTTTATATATTCTATGTGTTTTCATATGATTGCAATTTCACCTCATGTTATTCCTTGTTTGAAAATAGGTTTTAATGTTTTTTTTATCAAATTTAATTTTATTGTGTAGTATATGTGTGTTTGCAGGAAACTGTATGGTTTTCATGTACTTTTTATCATCATAATATCATTTCATTTTTCTATTCATAATTACATTTGGGCAACTTAAGCTATTGGTCATATTCATGTACACAATAAGATACAAAATTCTGCATGTAAACAAGTTTTCTGCAACAATGTCCTTTACAGATTACAAAAGCAATTTTAGGGCAGACCCAGTAGTTTTTATAGGTTAAGATGCAGTCACACCTTATTAATCCAAAATACTCACAACCTTAAGCTTTCCATGAAACTGGATTTTTGATGAAGCTGAGTAGTGACTTTAGTGTTGCTGAGCTTAGTTAATCCTACCCAGTAATGCTCATTATACATATTTATCATGCATAGAACTTAATGAAACTTATAACTTTACAAAACTGTACATACCAGAAGCTGCTCTACATATTCACTTCTAAACTGAAGACTATGGAAGTGTTTTAAATGATTTGAGCATCATTTTTGGTGGAAATAATTATAGAACTAGATATGTTTATTTATGTGAAGTGTTAAACACTTGTTGGTCATTGAGTGCAAGTAATGTTGGAGGCTGGATCCTTCCTAAAACAACACACTACTTAATAATACTTAACTAATATCTGTGGGAACTGGATAAGAATGGGATGAGCAGTATGGACAGAACCGGTGTGGATTTGGTTATAAGAGGCATAAAGATCATTAAAGGAAAGAACCTGAATATGAGTCTTGTCACTTGATTCAGCAGGTATGACTTGATAAAGCTCTACACAATGAAACGCTGCCCCAATAATAGCTTGTTCTGCAAGTGTTTCTCTTCATTGGTTCATCTTTGTCAGTCAACTGTTATAATTCTGACTGATCTAGTAAGGTGGTGGAGTAGGTGTTACACAAGAGAGCTGCAGACACTTATTAAATAATAACATCATTGTCTTTATTTATAGCCATACATACAGTATTATTACTTGACAATTTGATCTCGGTGAACACATCGAGTCCAGGCTGAGGGACTGATTACCTCAACTCTTTCTCACCTTCCACCTTTTTCTGCATTGGACTGAAGCAGCCACTGGCTGGCAAAACACTTCCAGAATAAAGATACCCAAATGTTGCACAAATGTCTCATTTATCAATAATTGATCCACTTTCTGCAGCAATGTTACGATCTGCTGGATAAATAGCACAGTTGTTTATCCTCTTACTGTACCACATGATGTTCAAATACTTGCATAACTTTCTTCAGTTAATGCTGTGTTAACATGTCATGTAACTCTTCTTTATTACAGTCACTCTAATACACAAGCAGTGTAGAATTACATTTCTCATCACACACTAAATCAAATTACAGTGGACCCCCGGTTAACGATATTTTTTCACTCCAGAAGTATGTTCAGGTGCCAGTACTGACCGAATTTGTTCCCATAAGAAATATTGTGAAGTAGATTAGTCCATTTCAGACCCCCAAACATACACGTACAAATGCACTTACATAAATACACTTACATAATTGGTCGCATTCGGAGGTAATCGTTATGTGGGGGTCCACTGTACTGTAAAATGTTTCGAAAAAATTTTCAGAGATTCAATTTGATCTCATTTGTAAGTAATAGACTAAGCAGGAACAATGAGGCAACTACTGTGCTTGAAGACACCTAACCTTAAGTAACCCAAGGCTTTCCATTTAAGATGAAACGTTGAGGCAAGTAGAGCAAATAAAATACCTTTATTAATCCAGCTATGCAGACACAAGATTAGTAAGATTTGACTGTATGTGTTTTTTCTCTCTATTTTATATACGTGTGTATGTATGTATGTATGTTTTTTCAACAAACTGGCCGTATCCCACCGAGGCAGGGTGGCCCCCCAAAAAAACGAAAGTTTCTCTTTTTAAATTTATTAATTTATAGGCACCATGATGGTAATGATGGTGCAGTAGGAAAGATGAATGGGAGGGTATTGACACCTGGGGAAGCATTTGATATCCTTGGGGTGAAATTTGACTCCAAACTGACCATGAAGAACCACGCCGTAAATCTTGCAAACAAGGCAGCCAGGAAGCTTACAGCACTTCGCCGTATCTTGCATCTGCTTGACAGTAGGGGTTGCAAGATTCTGTACGGGTCACAAGTACGCTCACACCTTGAGGATGCTCCACTTTATTGGTTTGCCTGCTCACCCCTCTCACCTGCGACTGCTTGACAGAGTAGAGAACAGAGCAAGACATCTCATCTCTCGCCTGGACCAATCCTGGATAGATCTGTCATTTCAGCAGAGCCTTCAACACAGGAGGGATGTGGGTGGCCTTACTGTTATGTACAAGGCCAATATTGTCAAAGTACCAGACTTGGATCCACTTCGAGGACAGTGTGAAGCAAGCTTCTGTAGCACAAGACGGGCAGAAAGCAGGAACTTCACTCTGGCTGTACCCTTCGCCAGTTCATCACGTCATCTGAGATCATTTATTCCCAGGAAGACTCGAGTATGGAACACATTTGTACAGCATTATGATGTCAACAAGATAAAGTCAGTTGATCAGATGAAAATGCTGGCCCACAGATGGCTCCAACTTCATCCTGTTCCCTACTTGTATGTCTCATAACAATAAAAATACTTTCAAATGAGCTGATGTAGGTAACAGCTCTTAGCTTGTCAATAAAGTTATTAATCCTTAACCTGTAAATAGCTTGTCAGTAAAGCTAGGGATCCTTAACCTAACCTTGTCAAACCCTGTGAAAAAAAAGGGGGGGGCACTAGCCCCATGCTCCTGGCATTTTAGTGTATATATACAAGCATAGTGTGTGGTATGCACATGTCCCACCATCCTGTTCTATGTTAACAATGATCTCAAGTCTTCTGAAACAGGGGTTCATCTTGCGGTATTTTCTCATCAATTTCCGGGAGGTCATAGAATGAGCACCGTCATAGTACAGCAGTGTCCCATCAAGGCAGGAATACACAGCAATGCTGTGTTGTTTTCCTGTCAACCCTACAATTCGACCATGACCTTTGGGTAATGAAGGCTCCAGAAGGAGGTCATCATCCCAACACACTTGACATACTTTACCGAATGGACGAGGAGTGTTATTAACAATGTTCAAGATATTATGTCCAGTCAATCCTCTGGTAGCCTCCATGATTAGTTTTTAGATTTTGCCACCGAAGTTGCTAGTTTATTGTGCAGCCCATATCCATCCTGTGGAAGGTAGCGCAAGAGTATATAAATAGACAAAAGGCCCAAGAACTAGGTCATGTTAGGAAGTATTTCTTCAGTCATAGAGTAGTCAAGCCGTGGAATAGCCTAGAAAGTGAAGTAGTGGAGGCGGGAACCATACATAGTTTTAAGGCGAGGTATGATAGAGCTCATGGAGCAGGGAGAGAGAGGACCTAGTAGCAATCAGTGAAGAGGTGGGGCCAGGAGCTATGCCTCGACCCCTGCAACCACAAATAGGTGAGTACACACACACACACACATACACACACACACATGCGCACACACACACACACACACGCAGAGATATTGTGTGAGCCATTAACAAAGATCTTCAACACATCATTTGAAACTGGGCAACTCCCTGAGGTATGGAAAATGGCAAATGTAGTCCCAATTTTTAAAAAGGGAGACAGACATGAGACACTAAACTACAGACCTGTATCACTAACGTGTATAGTATGCAAGGTCATGGAGAAGATCATCAGGAGGAGAGTGGTCGGGCACCTGGAAAGAAACAAGTGTATAATTGACAACTAGCACGGTTTCAGGGAAGGAAAATCCTGTGTCACAAACCTACTAGAGTTTTATGACAAGGTGACAGAAGTAAGACAAGAGAGAGAGGGGTGGATCGACTGCATATTTTTGGACTGCAAGAAGGCCTTCGACACAGTTCCTCACAAGAGGTTACTGCAAAAGCTAGAGGATCAGGCACACATAACAGGAAAGGCACTGCAATGGATCAGAGAATACCTGACAGGGAGGCAACAACGAGTCATGGTACGCGACGAGGTGTCAGAGTGGGCGCCTGTGACAAGCGGGGTTCCACACGGGTCAGTCCTAGGACCTGTGCTGTTCTTGGTATATGTGAACGACATAACGGAAGGGATAGACTCAGAAGTGTCCTTGTTTGCAGATGATGCGAAGTTAATGAGAAGAATCAAATCGGATGAGGATCAGGCAGGACTACAAAGAGACCTGGACAGGCTACAAGCCTGGTCCAGCAACGCTCTTGAATTACCTGCCAAATGCAAAGTCATGAAGATTGGGGAAGGGCAAAGAAGACCGCAGACACAATATAGTTTAGATGGCCAAAGACTGCAAACCTCACTCAAGGAAAAAGATCTGGGGGTGAGTATAACACCGAGCATATCTCCTGAGGCGCACATCAATCAGATAACTGCTGCAGCATACAGGCGCCTGGCAAACCTACGGATAGCGTTCCGATACCTCAGTAAGGATTCGTTTAAGGCTCTGTATACCATTTACGTCAGGCCCATACTGGAGTATGCAGCACCAGTTTGGAATCCACACCTAGTCAAGCACGTCAAGAAATTAGAGAAAGTGCAAAGGTTTGCAACAAGTCCCAGAGCTACGGGGATTGTCCTACGAAGAAAGGTTGAGGGAAATCGGCCTGACGACACTGGAGGACAGGAGGGTCAGGGGAGACATGATAACGACATAAAATACTGCGCGGAATAGACAAGGTGGACAAAGACGGGATGTTCCAGAGAAGGGACACAGACACAAGAGGTCACAATTGGAAGTTGAAGACTCAGATGAATCAAAGGGATGTTAGGAAGTATTTCTTCAGTCATAGAGTAGTCAGGCCATGGAATAGCCTAGAAAGTGACATAGTGGAGGCGGGAACCATACATAGTTTTAAGGCGAGGTATGATAGAGCTCATGGGGCAGGGAGAGAGAGGACCTAGTAGCAATCAGCGAAGAGGCGGGGCCAGGAGCTGTGACTCGACCCCTGCAACCACAAATAGGTGAGTACACACACACACACCTGACGACACTGGAGGACAGGAGAGATATGGGGGACATGATAACGACATACAAAATACTGAGAGGAATTGACAAGGTGGACAAAGACAGGATGTTCCAGAGATTGGACACAGTAACAAGGGGACACAGTTGGAAGTTGAAGACACAGATGAATCACAGGGATGTTAGGAAGTATTTCTTCAGCCACAGAGTAGTCAGTAAGTGGAATAGTTTGGGAAGCGATGTAGTGGAGGCAGGATCCATACATAGCTTTAAGCAGAGGTATGATAAAGCTCACGGTTCAGGGAGAGTGACCTAGTAGCGACCAGTGAAGAGGCGGGGCCAGGAGCTTGGACTCGACCCCCGCAACCTCAACTAGGTGAGTACAACTAGGTGAGTACACCACACACACACACACACACACACACACACACACACACACACACACACAAAAAAAAAAAAAAAAAAAAAAAAAAAAAAAAAAAAAAACAGGCCTAGTGTCTAATCGACATGTGCCTCGGACAAAATGGTAACTAACTAACACCCCTCTGGGTTTTCTGCTATTTTCTTTCTAGTTCTTATTCTTGTTTATTTTCTCTTATCTCCATGGGGAAGTGGAACAGAATTCTTCCTCCGTAAGCCATGCATGTTGTAAGAGGCGACTAAAATGCCGGGGGCAAGGGGCTAGTAACCCCTTCTCTTGTATAAATTACTAAATTTAAAAAGAGAAACTTTAGTTTTTCTTTTTGGGCCACCCCGCCTTGGTGGGATACGGCCAGTTTGTTGATATATATATATATATATATATATATATATATATAGTATAGTTGGTATACAACACCGCAGGGAGGTATACGTCATCAAGTGAGTGTAAACGAAAGCCTGTAATTGTTTTACATGATGTAGGATTGTGGTGTCCTTTTTCTGTATCATGAACATCATAGATTTCAGGTACGTCTTGCTAATTCTATTACACTTAGGTCTATACACATACATGTCAAGCACATATATACACCTCTGGGTTTTCTTCTAATTTTCTTTCTAGTCTTATTATTGTTTATTTCCTCTTATCTCATGGGAAGTGGAACAGAATTCTTCTCCGTAGCCATGCATGTTGTAAGAGGCAATTAAAATGCAGGAGCAAGGGCTAGTACCTCTTCTCCTGTATTATTACTAATGTAAAGAAAACTTTCGTTTTCCTTTGGGCCACCGCTCGTGGATACGCCGGTGTGTTGCAGAAAGAAAGAATATTATTATTATATTATTTTTATTATTATTTATATATATATATATATTCTATATTTTATTATAATTATTAGTTATGTGTAATTAATGGCTAAATAGACATAGTGATTTGTTTGTGGTACTAAATTGACATGTTATTCATATGTAAAATTGTAGTTGAGTATACTCTCATTTTCATATGGATAAAATTCTTGTATCATGCATGTATGTACACTGAATGAATTTAATATCTGATGGAGGCTGCACTGCCATTTTTCCCCATCTTCTGCAGTTTGTAAGTACACAGTGCATGAACGGTGTGTCCAGCGAGCACCAGCAACATGTATTGCAACATATGTGAAGAGCAAGAGAACATCCCAGTCCATGTTACACCACTGGGTAGAGGGCAATTGCCCAGGCAAGTGCTCTCGTTGCAAGAAAACTATCAAGAGTTATAATGGCATCACTGGATTACACTGCTGTTGGTGTCATCTGCGGGTGAGTGTTGTGTGTCAAGTTGTTGGTGTCATCTATGGGTGAGTGTTGTTTGTGTGTCAAGTTGTTGGTGTCATCTATGGGTGAGTGTTGTTTGTGTGTCAAGTTGTTGGTGTCAACTATGGGTGAGTGTTGTTTGTGTGTCAAGTTGTTGGTGTCATCTATGGGTGAGTGTTGTTTGTGTGTCAAGTTGTTGGTGTCATCTATGGGTGAGTGTTGTTTGTGTCAAGCTGTTGGTGTCATCTATGGGTGAGTGTTGTTTGTGTGTCAGGTTGTTAGTGCCATGTACAGGTGAATGTTATTTGTATGTGTCAAGCTGTTAATGTCATCAACAGGTGAGTGTTGTTTGTGTGTCAAGCTGTTGGTGTCATCTATGGGTGAGTGTTGTTTGTGTGTCTTAGGTTGTTAGTGTCATCTATGGGTGAGTGTTGTTTGTATGTCTTAGGTTGTTAGTGTCATCTATGGGTGAGTGTTGTTTGTATGTCTTAGGTTGTTAGTGTCATCTATGGGTGAGTGTTGTTTGTATGTGTCAAGCGCTGGATTATTATTATTATTATAATCAAGGGGGAAGCGCTAAACCCGGAGGATTATACAGCGCCTGGGGGGTGGATGTGGAAGGCATTCAGGCTTAATTCAGGGAACTGGAGCACAGATCCAATTCCCTAAATCAAGAGCCCCTCACCAACATCAAGGAACCTTCCTTGAGGGGTCAAGCGCTGGAGAAAAGTCTGAGCGGTGCTAGTGATGGCACACAACTTGTAGCATTGCCTTGCTGCTGTTCCCTTCACTCTAGAACTGATGCCTTCTATGGGTGTGTAGTATTTGTGTAGTTAAAGTGTTTTTTCTCTTCTCCAAATTATACAGAATGGTTAGAGCAATATAGAAGTTATTAATAATGGACCATATTATGGTCCATGTCCATAACACGGTTACATTGGACCGTTAAAGATATTTGTATTACAGTGTAAGTACATATTTACATTTTTACATGCTGTTGGAGTGTGAGCAGGGTAATATTTATGAAGGGTTTCAGGGAAACCAGCAGGCTGGACTTGAGTCCTGGAGATGGGAAGTACAGTGCCTGCATTCTGATGGAGGGGTGTTAATGTTGCAGTTTTATAGCTGTAGTGTAAGCGCGCTTCTGGCAAGACAGTGATGGAGTGAATGACGCTGAAAGTTTTTTTTTTTCCGGCCACCCTGCCTTGGTGGGAGGTGGTCGATGTGATAGTAAAGTAAAATAATTAATTAATGTGTTAGATAGGAGTGAATGGTGAAGAATGTTTTTTTGGACCTGATGATCTGTTGGAGTATGAGCAGGGTAATATTTTGTGAAGGGATTCAGGAAAACCAGTTAGACGAACTTGAATCCTGGAGGTGTGAAGTACGATGCCTGCACTTTAAAGGAGGGGTTTGGGATATTGGCTATTTGGAATGACATCTAAACTGTTGTATCTGGGTGCTTCTGCAAAGACAGTGTATGTGTGAGCGATAGTGAAAGTGTTGATTGATGGTGAAAGTGTTTCTTTCTTTTTTGGGTTACCCTACCTTGGTGGGAGACAGCCAGTGTGTTGAAAAAAAGAATAAGAAAATTTACCTAACAGTAGATAAATACATTAAAGTTTATTATAAAAATTATAAATTCAAATATTAATCATAGTTATATATCAGCATGTGTGTTGTTTGTGTCTCCTTCCAGCTCCACAATAGATGTGCTTCCCAAGTTAAACCTGAATGCAACTTTGGAGAGCACAGAGTTCACGTTCTTCCCCCAACAGCCATCTGTCCTATTGTTCTGGATCGCCAGCGATCCATATCAAAGGAGAAGAAGGATCTTCATCGGTCAGAATCAACACCAGCTGGACTCTGTGAAGGCACTGTAAGTGATTGTAACATTGTTCATTGGGTATTGCAGTCATGGCTTATGTTATGACTTGCACCAATCCATTCCCATGGAACTTCTTTGATGGCTAAATTCCCTCCATTCATTTTCTGGGATGTTTGTCCTCATCTTTTCTGCCCTGCAGATAAGCACTTGGAAGACCAAACACCAGCACCTTTTTTGTTTTTACATGCTGCAGATTTTTTACAGTTAGGGGAAGCCAATAGCTGTGTCAGGTAGGTAGGATGTGGACATTTCACTATGCCCTGTTCCTAGACTAGGGGTCCATCTTTCCTGTTTGGGAATATCTATTCTTTTTTTTCTGTTTTGAAAGGGAACTCTTGTTTTGTTTCCCAATACTGCTCAGATTTTGACAATATTTCTACTGTACACAAACAATTACTACTTAGAGATAACTCCCACTTAGAAAATTTAAACAATGTTTTGGTCTGCCCTGGACCCATATCAAGTTGCAGCATACAGATATAATGCAGTGAACCCTAACATGTTTGAATGGTTTAACATGGAGATATGGCAGCCATGTTTCCCCACCATTAAGTAGGACAATAGAATCCCAAGTTATTCACTGTGGTTCAGAAGTAACCAGGTTTCACTCTCGACTTTTTTTTTTTTTTTCTTATTCGCCGGTATTCTCCCGGCCAGGGACTTCACAAGTTTCTTTCATATAAGCTTCAATTTAAAATTTAAATACAGTGAACCCCCCGCATTTTGGCGGCCGCGACTTTTGTGAAATCTGACTTTCGGCAACTTTTTTTGGCAAATTATAGCCTCATGGTTCATGATTAGCCTCGTGCTTCGGCAATCATCTGGTACATGTCCAATGCCAGAGCGCACACAAAGCCAGTCTCCTGCATCATTCACACTTAGTGTACCATTGTTTATCAGCGAGTGACCATCATCCCATGCATTTATACAATACATTTTGTAATATTCCATTCTTTTTTGTGCTTCCAACTGCTAAATAAGTCACCATAGGCCCAAAGAAAGCTAGTGCCAGCCCTTTGGTAAAGAAAGTGAGAAACACAATCGAATTAAAGAAAGAAATCATTGGAAAACATGAAAGTGGAGTGCGTGTTTCAGAGCTTGCCAGGATGTGTGGGAAACCCCATTCAACCATCACTTTGATTGTGGTGAAAGGAAAGGAAATCAAGGAAGCTGTTGTTGCAAAAGGGGTAGATATGCTGACAAAAAAAGAGATCGCAAATCCTCGAAGAAGTGGAGAGGCTATTGTTGGTGTGGATTACCCAAAAACAGTTAGCAGGAGATAGTGTTATGCAGTCAATAATTTATGTAAAGGCAAGGCAGTTGCATGACAATCTCGTAAAGAAAATGCCTGCAACGAGTGCTGATGTTTGTGATTTTAAGGCCAGCAAAGGCTGGTTTGAGAGATTTAAGAAGCGTAGTGGCATACACAGTGTAGTAAGGCATGGCGAGGCTGCGAGTGCTGATAAACAAGTGGCTGAAAAGTATGTTCAGGAGTTCAAGGGGTACATAGAGATTGAACAGTTCAAACTCCAACAAGTGTTCAGTTGTGACAAAACAGGCCTGTTTTGGAAGAAAATGCCAAAGAGGACCTACATCACGCAGGAGGAAACAGCACTGCCAGCACACAAGCCTATGAAAGAGAGGCTAACTCTCATGTTTTGTAGTAATGTTAATGGGAATTTCAAAGTAAAGCCTTTACTGGTGTATCACTCTGAAAATCCCAGAGTGTTCAAGAAAAATAGTGTTTCCAAGGCTAATTTGTGTGTGATGTGGAAGACTATCAGTAAGGCATGGGTCACGAGGGACATTTTCCTTGATTGGTTTAATGAAGTGTTTGGCCCCAGTGTGAAGAAATACCTCCTGGAAAATAAATTGAAATTCAAGTGCCCTCTGGTAATGGACAATGCTCCTGCTCATCCTCCAGACTTCGAAGAGCACATGGTGCAGGAGTTTCATCACAGTGAAGTTCTTGCCCCCTAATACCAGTCCTCTCCTCCAGCCCATGGACCAGTAGGTCATTTCAAACTTCAAAAAACTGTATACCAAAGCAGTGTTTCAAAAGTGCTTTGAAGTGACCTCAGACACTAAATTGACCCTAAGAGAGTTCTGGAAAGATCACTTCAATATCCTCCATTGCATAAACCTTATAGGTAAGGCTTGGGAGGGAGTGACTTTCAGGGCTTTGAACTCTGCTTGGAAAAAATTGTGGCCACAATATGTACAAGAGAGGGATTTTGAAGGGTTTGGGGCTAACCCTGAGGAGCCTATGCCAGTTGGGCAAAACATTGTGGCATTGGGAAATTCCATGGGGTTGGATGTGAGTTTCGAGGATGTGGAAGAGTTAACCACTTCAGAGCTGCAAGACCTTTATCTGCAACAGCAACAGACCACAGCTCAGGAAATTGCTTTAGAGGAGGAGGAAGAGAGATGGAGGAAGGCGCCTTCTTCAAAGATTATGGACATTTGTGCAATGCCAACAAAGGTGCAAACATTTATGGATGAACCTCACATTGACAAAGCTGTCGAAGGTCATATTGGCAACATATACAATGACAATGTTATGTCCCATTTTAGAGATGTTTTAAAGAAACGCCAGAAACGGAGCTCTCTGGACAGATATTTTGTGTGACAGGGGTCCAGTGACTCTCAAGCTGGTCCCAGTGCCATTTAAAAACAAAGAAGAGAAGTAACCCCAGAAAAGGACTTGGTACCTGAAGTCTTTATGGAAGGGGATTCCCCTTCCAAACACTAGTGTACCTTCATCCTCTCCCCTCCTCCTGTCTTCCATCCACCCAGAAGTCTTCAATAAAGGTAAGTGTAATGTTATTATTATTTTATGTATGTATGTACTTGATTTCTCATTGTTCTCTGTATGTAAATCTTTACTTAATTTGGAATAAATATTTTTTTTTTTTAATATTTTTGGGTGTCTGAAACGGATTAATTGTATTTCCATTATTTCTTATGGGAAAAAGGTTTTGTCATTCATGAATTTTGACTTTCAGCAGACTCTCTGGAATGGATTAATCACGAAAAACAAGGGTCCACTGTATACACATTACACATTAAGTTTAGTAGTATATAATTTTAGAGAACTTCAGTTGATGAAAAAAATCCTGTTAAAGCATTGAGTGTGGCAGGAAGTTAAATAAGTCAAGTGTCATTGTATATTTATTTAATCTGTCTATACATATATTTTCTCCTCAAGGAAGGTTCCTTGATGCTGGTAAGTGGCTCTTGATCTAGGAAATTGGATCTGTGCTCCAGTTCCCTGAATTATGCCTGACTACCTTCCACATTTCCCCACAGGTGCTGTATAATCCTGCGGGTTTAGCACTTCCCCTTGATTATAATAATAGTAATAATATACATATATTTTTTATTTCTTTACTTGGGGTGCCTCTGTGCTTCAGGAAAGTTGAAAATAGGTTAAGTAAATAACAATAAAATGGCAACTATTCTTCAAGCAGAATACTTCCATAAATACTACCCCCCCATCCCCACAGGTTGCAGCCCCAATGTCCTTCCAGATTACACCCCTCCCTGGGACACATCCGCTGGCTGTCTTTGTTAATCCCAAGAGTGGGGGAAGGCAAGGGGCCAGAATCCTCAGAAAATTTCAGGTTAGTTTTGGTGATATGCTAGAAACATTACACTAGAATCTCACATGGTGCTCTTGCAAGTCATCATCAACATATCAAAGTTTTGCATGCTGTACATCAAAGTTTTTTTTTTTTTTCACATATTTTGATGGTAGATCTAAATTCAATACTGTGCAGGTGAGGACTAGGGAAAAGTCTCCTTACACATGTTGCCCTTATGTTCCTAGCAGTAAATAGGTACTTGGATAGTAGCTGACCATTTTGGGTGGTCTTCTGGCAGGTAGAAGTATACTTTACATACTTTGTTTGACTATACTGGGTTATCCTAGGTTAACCCTTTCACTGTTGAGACCCCTGCTCACAAACTTGCTCTCAGTGTCGAAAAATATTAAAAAAATAAAAAAATATTTTTTTTTTACCAAAATATTGAGAATATTTTTTTGACTTTTAAAATAAAAAAATTTTGTGATCAGTACATACCGAGATATAAAGGCATGAAGTTGACAGAAAGTGAACCGGTTACGGCAACATCGGAGACTGCCGCTCACTCGGAAATATTATTTTTACTTTTATTCTATTTTTTCTTTTATTTTTTAATATTTTACTTTTTCAAGTAACTTTTGTGGCCTGTGAGATCAATATAATGTGTAATTTATATATATCCACTCGTTGTATGCAACACAATAACCGCACAAATATTATCATCATTACATTGTTTACAAAACCTGTTTACACAAACCAACAGTAAAAAAGTTTTTATTATTGTTGTTCTATAATATATATACACATATAGAGTCACTGGACACATTCCTAGAACTGCTACAGCTTGTGGAAGGTTGTGTGTGGGTGGTTGAAGGTAGCCTTTGTTATGGATGTGCTGAGAGCAGCGTGGCTGGTGTCACATGACGCATTACACAACCACCAACACCCATTACCCATTCCATCTTCCTCAACAACCATGCTGTCTTCCCCACCACCCATATGGAAATAAGTCACTTTGTCTGACTTTTTTGGGTTATCCTAGGTTGATGGTCATCTGGGTTTCCAGCACTATTTCTGGTATCCTGAGTATTGCTTTTGATCACAAACTCCTCAGAACCATGAAATTTATTTTCTCTGACATTTCCATCTGTGTTAGAACTATCACTTGGGAATAGAAGAGTCCCAGTTCGCCGGGGAGTGAGGTATTTCTTACTGCAAAGCATGGTAAACAAGGCCTACTGAAATGGGACTCCCACAGTGCACCACTGGTGCCCCAATTTTTTTTATACAGTGCACACTGACCACACAGACCCATTCTCTCACATGTAGGTCTACCAGCTTTCTCCTGCTAAATTTGAAGCCGCTAGAATTTTGGCATACTAATACGTCACCAACACTGGCTTGTAAGCCGTACCTATATGGCACTGACAGTGAAAGGGTTAATTATAATGTTATATATTTAGGTTAGAGGGAATATCCTGGGTTATATAAACATAATGTAATAATTATGTGTCCGTAACACGTGGGCTTTCAAGACCAATAGAAAACGTATTTACAAGGAAATCTTATTACAATTGTTTCAATATGTAATACTTACGAAAACATGGAAATAAGTCATATTATTTGACTAAACAATTGAGTTATCCTAGGTTAAATCTACAAAGTGTGCTTTTTGGCTGAGTTCCTCTGTTAATATCATGGCATTGCAACATACAGTTTGACACACTGTATGTTGGCAAGCAAGCAGGTGGTAGAACAACAGGTCCTGGTTTCATTTTTTATTTATCCTAGTTAGGCAGTGTTGCCCATGTTGCACTACATGGACCTGTCTGATCTTAGATTTTTTCAAAAGCATAAAAAAGTTGTAGGAGACCCAAACAGTTATACATAGCAGCAGGTGATGTATTTGAAGGCAGGTAAAATTGTGCATAGTAGTACATACCTCATACACATCCTTGTCACCTGCATACTGTATGTTGGGCACAGTTAAGGAATTAAATGAAAATGTAATTCTTATGCATGATCTCTGTAGGTTTAGCACTTCCCCATGATTGTAGACAGTAATAACTTAAATAATCTTGTTTCTCAATACAGTACCTGCTAAATCCTCGTCAGGTGCATAACCTAGCAAAGGATGGTCCCTTGACTGGCCTTCAGTTATTCAAGGATGTTCCCAATGTGCGGGTGATTGTGTGTGGTGGTGATGGCACCATAGGGTGGATCCTGGAGCAAATGGGTAGGCCTATAAGCATTTCATACTAGATCAGGGCTCACTTAAAAAGTGCAATGATTCTTTGCTAAAATCTAAGTGGCTTTGTAAAAAATATTCTTAATGATTTCTGAGAGGTTCCTGAGTGAGAAGTCCTTTTGTTAAATTGCTCATTCCCGCAGACAAGGTGCAGTGGAACCAGGCCCCCTGCGTAGGCATTATCCCCTTGGGTACTGGTAACGATTTAGCCAGATGTCTCAGATGGGGTGGTGGTTACGAAGGGGAGAGCCTTCACAAAATTCTTAAGGTATGATATTCAGTTATTGTAAAATATTGATAAAAGTGTCGTTAAGTTGCACTTTTTGTTAAATTTCAAGAATTAGTGCACTTAATATTAAAGTGGTTTAAAAAATATCTTGAGTGCAATTGCCTGTTGATGTAGTTTTCCATATCTCTACTGATGCCTAGTTAAAATATTTTTCAACTTGAACAGTTATCATATCAGAGTCACTGGAAATTTATCCGTATTGCTGCATCCCAGTGTTTTATTCTCTGCTTGAATTTTTTTGAAAAAGGTAAACTTTTAGATGCATAATCCTGCATTTTATGAGCCAATATTCACACTATAAGACTGAAATTAGATGGAAATTACATGAAAGTTGGAAACAAACTTTATAAATTGAAATATTGATATATGGGGAGGAATGTTCAAGAGACATCCTGCTACTCTGTTGTGAGAAGGTTTGTACAGTAGTGACAGGTAGAAGGATACATAGATAATGATATAGCATGACAGAGGCTTATGGTACATTTTATATTTACTTCATTATTTTTGTGATATTCTTAGCTAGCGATAATTTTTTTTTTAATGTTTTACGGCTAGTTTGAGATTTCAAATGTGAAATGTGAGATCATTGTCACTTGGATAAATGATGCCTGAAAGGCATCAAATTAGCATAATTTAAAATAGTGAGAAAGACTATGTTTGCAAGTATGTATACAAAAAATAGAAACACAAATACACAGCCTCATAAGGCTGATGAGCATTCTGAGGCCAGGCTTGAGAAGGGGTCACAAGTAAGGTAACTAGTTATGCGATGAGCACACAGGTAGCTCAAACAATATGCATAATTTAGGTCCCAAGGTGTAAGGGATGGGACCGGAGAAAGGCAAGGGGGCAGGTCCGTAAGCTTTCCCCCTGACATGAAACATTTCTACCCCTCCTTCAGGATGCTGGCACTGTACTTCCAAGGACTAAAGTTCATAAATGTTAACTTTCTAACACTCCAACAGCACATCAAATTCCAAAAAGTCACTTGTCTTTAATCACCCAGGTCTGACATGCTCACACACATCTGCTGGATGCTCAGGCCACTTCCATTTTAAACTTATTTACATCCTTCCTTCAACTACCTGGGATGGCCCCTCCAACCTGGATTTATACAGTCTCTTGGTCATCCTATTTTGCTTCTTCTCTAAAAGCCCAGACCACCTCAACAATCCCTCTTCTGCTGTCTGAATAATTCCTTTCATAATCCCACACCATCTTCTAATTTCTGTGCTCTGAAGTCTTTGCATAATATTCACATCACACATTGCTCTCAAACATGACATATCCACTGCCTTCAGTCTCCTCCTTGCTTCAACATTTAAGGCCTATTCCTAACACCCATATAAAAGTGTTAGTACCATTATACTCTAATACATTACCTCCTTAGATAAACCTCTTTCTCAACACAGATAACTCAATGCTCCACCTATCTTTTTTCCTTCATTTATTCCATGGTTCATCTCATCTTTCATAGACTCATCTGCCAATGCTTCCAGTCCCAGATATCTAAATACATTCACTACCTCCTTACTCCCTTCTTCCAATCTGATATTATATCATATTAATTGTTAATATTTAATGATGATAAAAGTATTTTCTTTTTGGGGATTTTCTTTCTTTTTTGGGTCACCCTGCCTCGGTGGGAGATGGCCGACTTGTTAAAAAAAAATATATATATAATTCTTCCATAATAGCAATATTATCTCCTCAGAAAATAGAGAAATCCTCAGTGGTTATGATGGATCGGTGGCACATCGAGGTGTCTGAACAGTCAGCAACTCAGGAAGATGATCAGATTGTTGGAGACAAAATTCCTTATAATATTGTCAACAATTACTTCAGCATAGGTGTGGTAAGTAATGATAAGATACCTGTAGGTCTTCTTCAGTGTGTACTACTATGCACAAGGTTGTGTATGGTAGTACATACATGCAACTTGTGTACTACTATGTATGTACTCTAATACTGTGTCTGTACTATTGTGCTCATTTAAAGTTAGTCATTCAAATTTAATTAAATTTTTGCTGTGTTAAGAGGAAACATTTTATTACTAAATTACTTTTTAAAAACTATATTTCATTTTTATAAACTTTCATACCATTTATTGTAATATAATTATATTACAGTTTACAGTATATGTAAAGTTGAAGCACCACTTAGGAAATTGACCTCATTACAGATCATATACCTGAGGTTAGTTGATAGACAAGAACCATCCAGGGAATGATGGATACTACCATATTATCTGAGTGTAGAGCACAAGCCTGTTAAATGTTTTACACCCTGGCAAGGTTGTTGGATTTTTCTTTCTGTCTCTTCAACAGTAAGATGACAGAGGTAATTCTTACAGATTTCTACTTGTATTCATTATACAATTATTACTTTCATTATAAGGTGGCCCGGTGGTCTGGTGGCTAAAGCTCCCGCTTCACACACGGAGGGCCCGGGTTCGATTCCCGGCGGGTGGAAACATTTGACACGTTTCCTTACACCTGTTGTCCTGTTCACCTAGCAGCAAATAGGTACCTGGGTGTTAGTCGACTGGTGTGGGTCGCATCCTGGGGGACAAGATTAAGGACCCCAATGGAAATAAGTTAGACAGTCCTCGATGACGCACTGACTTTCTTGAGTTATCCTGGGTGGCTAACCCTCCGGGGTTAAAAATCTGAACGAAATCTTATCTTATCTTATCATTTCTTTCCCATGGTATTTTTACTAGTTTTTATTCCTATATTACATCCTTTACAATTTGAAACTTATGAGGTGTGATTTTAGACTAGGTTGCTGGGGTGATAATCCCCATAAACCTTAGTAGATATATTAGATAACCTCAGCTCACACACACACACACTGAGGCCCGGGATCAATCCCCCGGAACGGCTGGAAAACATTAGGACATGTTTCCATAAGACACCTGCTATCCCTTTTCACCCATCAGTAAAATGAGTACCTGGGTGTTAGTCGACTGGTGTGGGTCGCATCTTGGAACAAAATTGACCTACAGTAATTTGCCCGAAATGCTCAGCATTGATGTCAACTAGGCCTGTATATCTTGTACATGTACTTGTAGAAGTAAAGATATTATTATTATTTTTGCACCCATGCTTTATTGAGCTTTAAGAAAATATGCAGCAGTGCTCCTTATTACCACTAGTATCAGCAGTACCTTTCATTACCACTGGTACTAGCAGTGCTTCTCATTACCACTGGTACTAGCAGTGTTTCTCATTGCCACTGGTACTAGCAGTGTTTCTTATTACCACTGGTACTAGCAGTGCTTCTCATCACCACTGGTACTAGCAGTGTTTCTCATTGCCACTGGTACTAGCAGTGTTTCTTATTACCACTGGTACTAGCAGTGCTTCTCATCACCACTGGTACTAGCAGTGCTTCTCATTACCACTGGTACTAGCAGTGTTTCTCATTGCCACTGGTACTAGCAGTGTTTCTTATTACCACTGGTACTAGCAGTGCTTCTCATCACCACTGGTACTAGCAGTGTTTCTCATTGCCACTGGTACTAGCAGTGTTTCTCATTACCACTGGTACTAGCAGTGCTTCTCATTACCACTGGTACTAGCAGTGTTTCTCATTACCACTGGTACTAGCAGTGCTTCTCATTACCACTGGTACTAGCAGTGTTTCTCATTGCCACTGGTACTAGCAGTGTTTCTCATTACCACTGGTACTAGCAGTGTTTCTCATTACCACTGGTACTAGCAGTGTTTCTCATTACCACTGGTACTAGCAGTGTTTCTCATTACCACTGGTACTAGCAGTGTTTCTTATTTCCACTGGTACTAGCAGTGTTTCTCATTGCCACTGGTACTAGCAGTGTTTCTCATTACCACTGGTACTAGCAGTGTTTCTCATTACCACTGGTACTAGCAGTGTTTCTTATTTCCACTGGTACTAGCAGTGTTTCTCATTGTCACTGGTACTAGCAGTGTTTCTCATTACCACTGGTACTAGCAGTGCTTCTCATTACCACTGGTACTAGCAGTGCTTCTCATTACCACTGGTACTAGCAGTGTTTCTCATTGCCACTGGTACTAGCAGTGTTTCTCATTACCACTGGTACTAGCAGTGTTTCTCATTACCACTGGTACTAGCAGTGTTTCTTATTTCCACTGGTACTAGCAGTGTTTCTCATTGTCACTGGTACTAGCAGTGTTTCTCATTACCACTGGTACTAGCAGTACTTCTCATTACCACTGGTACTAGTAGTGCTTCTCATTACTACTGGTACTAGCAGTGTTTCTCATTACCACTGGTACTAGCAGTGTTTCTCATTACCACTGGTACTAGCAGTGTTTCTTATTACCACTGGTACTAGCAGTGTTTCTTATTGCCACTGGTACTAGCAGTGTTTCTCATTACCACTGGCACTAGCAGTGTTTCTTATTACCACTGGTACTAGCAGTGCTTCTCATACATTAAATTACATCTGAATTAAGTCTACTTTCTGTGTGGTGTTTTAACTGGACAGCATTGTTTGTATATACATTATTTTCTGTAATCTTTATTAATGGATTTTCTTGGTGTAAGCTCTACAAACACCTGTTGTAGCACGTCAGTGTTTCTGTAAACCTTTTATCAGATTGACTCGGTTGATTTTTTTTTGACAAGTTATACCCGAAATGCACCACATGCTAGTAGCTTTCTTTTATGCCTAACAATATTTTATTACATGTAAGTTAGTACATATTGGCAGTTTGGAGGGATATGTTGTGTATCTTTATACGTATATGCTTCTAAACTGTTGTATTCTGGGCACCTCTGCAAAAGCAGTGATAATGTGTGAGTGTGGTGAAAGTGTTGAATGATGATGAAAGTATTTTCTTTTTGGGGATTTTCTTTCTTTTTTGGGTCACCCTGCCTCGGTGGGAGACGACCGACTTGTTGAAAAAAAAAAAAAAAAAGTTAGTACATTGTTTTTATACTGCATAGAAGAAATGAAGTATTTGAATTTGGTATTGTGAACCTTACCTTATAAAGTTCTTGTTTTCAGAGGAGTTTCAATATTAGTATGCATTGTTAATCAGTCTTGCATTTTTTTTTTTTTTTTGGCTTACAGGCCATCTCTCAGCAAGGCAAGGTGACCCGAAAAAGAAGAAACACTTTCAGAATGTTTTTCTTCTTTTTATATTTAGTAATTTATACAGGAGAAAGGGTTACTAGCCCCTTGTTCCCATCACTTTAGTCACCTCTTATGACATGCATGGTTTACGGAGGAAGGATTCTTCACTTCCCCATGGAAAATATTTAATATACTTTTTTAAGCATGTGATCATTACCATCTTGACTTCCTTCAGTGATATTGACCATGATTCTTGCAGGATGCAGCAATTTGTGTGAAATTCCATCTAGAACGAGAGAGAAATCCTGAGAAATTTAACAGTAGAATGAAGAATAAATTATGGTATTTTGAGTATGCTACTTCAGAGACATTTGCTGCATCATGCAAAAACCTTCATGAAGACATCGATATTATGGTGAGAGTTTTGTGCTTATTATTGTGTATTTTTAGGCTTTAACTTGAATTATGTCTATGGAAAATGTTTATGGAAAAATACATTTAGCCATTGGCCATTTATCAACATTAAACTTTACCAGAGATAATTAAAAAATAATAGATCAAAATTTTTTTCATGATCTTATCTTGAAAACTAGTGGCAAATAAAGGGGCAGGTCCCCAGATGTCCATGAACCATCATGCAATAGCTATACTGTATTATTTTCTTAAATTACTCCATCCATAATTACTGCATATTAATATATTATCACTCAGAAACACTTATTTTGTGTAGTTGAATAACCCCCTGAGGGTTTTCTTAATGTATTTATCTGCTGATTTTGTTATCCTGTTTATCATTAAATATATGATCGATGAAATCCTTCACTGAATGCCACCATCATCTCTGTGACAGTGTGATGGAGTGTCTCTGGATTTATCTAATGGTCCATCATTACAAGGAGTGGCTGTTTTGAATATACCATACACTCATGGTGGCTCCAACATGTGGGGAGACAGTACGCTCAAGAAGAGACATAAGACCAATAAAAATAAGAAGAAAAAAGACAGAGAAAGAGAGCTTTCAACTTCCTCTTTCTCTTCTGATCTCAGTGCTGCTATTCAAGGTAAATCAGTGTTTAATGATTTTTAATGGACATGCTGTTGGAGTGTAAGAAGGGTAAATTTTATGAAGAGATTCAGGGAAACCAGTCAGCCAGACTTCATTCCTGGAGGTGGAAAGTGCAGTGCCTTCACTCTGAAGGAGGGTCACAGTCTGATTGGGATGTCAACATACTTCTGGAAAGATGGCAGTTGAATGAATGTTGGTGAATGTGTTTTCTTCTTGGGCTTCCCTTGCCTTGGTAGGAGATGGCCATTGAGTTACAAAATAATAATAATAATACTAACAACTTTATTTCTTAAGAAGATTCATTTGTGTAGGAAAGCACTGGTTTGGCAGTAGCATGTAGTGAGTAGGTGTGGGACTAGGTCCTCCAGAATTTTGAATTTTTTGAATGTACTGTATCTCTCCTTCCTTTGATCTAGAGAGTACATGTTTAGAACTTGGACATGTTCCCAGAAGTTTAAATGTTTTATTGGCTTTATATAGGTAGCAAACTTATATTTGTATTTCCAAGCTCTGCTTTGAATGGAGCCATTGACACCAAACAATGATTTGAAGTGTTGCTATTGACATTATTACCTTTGTTTTAAAAGTTCTCATTATCCACCCGATCACTTTCTTGGCTTTTGTAACACTTGCCTTATTATGTTCTCTGGATGATAGGTCAAAAGGCATTATTACACCCAGGTCTTTCACATGTTCCTTTTGCTCTGTAGGTGTTCTTTCCTGTGTTTTGTATATAGTGTTCCTTTTGAGTTCTTCATTCTTTCCTTATCTGAGCAGTTAAAATTTGTTACATTGATCACGTTATTCTCCGCTGCCCACTGGATGATATCAACCAAACTGAAAATAGTGTACAAACACAATATCAATAAGGCTGCTAACTACACACTTCAGGCTGTAGCTGAGTATCAACTTACAATTCAATTGTCAAATCTCTAAAGTCAATAACACAGCCAAACTCTATAGTAAACCTGGACTTGAATTCTGGAAGTGGGAAGCACAGTGCTTGTACTCTGAAGGAGAGGCGAGTGGGAATGTTACAGCCCTGGAGGTGGAAAGCACAGTGCCTGCACTCTGAAGGAGGGATGGGGATGTTGCTGCTTGAAGGGGTATTTGAACTTGACATATTAATGCCCTTCTGGTAAGATAGTGATTGAATGAATGACAGTGAAAGCATTGTCTTCTTTGTCTTCTTGTTGGGTCACCCTGCCTTGGGGAGAGACAGGTAGAGTGTTAGAAAGAGAATTAGTACTGTACAGCTATTGTATTTCTAATTTAAGCATTTTGGATCTTGTAATAAAGTTGGTAGAATTACCGACAATATGTAAAGTAAAAGGACACAAGTGCAACTAATGTGACATTTTATTGTGGCAACGTTTCGCTCTCCAGGAGCTTTTTCAAGCCATTACAAACAATACATGGACACAGAGGGTATATAAAGGCTCAGAGTGAGGTGCAATACTAGTGAGGTACCATTTCGATGTTCAATAGTGGTAGTAGTAGTAGTAGTAGTAGTAGTGACAAAAGTAATACAATATGGTAGAGCATGCTCAATATGCTCTACAATATTGTATTACTTTTGTCACTACTACTACTACTACCACTATTGAACATCGAAATGGTACCTCACTAGTATTGCACCTCACTCTGAGCCTTTATATACCCTCTGTGTCCATGTATTGTTTGTAATGGCTTGAAAAAGCTCCTGGAGAGCGAAACGTTGCCACAATAAAATGTCACATTAGTTGCACTTGTGTCCTTTTACTTTACATTTTGGATCTTGTGTAAATTTCATCCACACAGATATTGGTGATAAACTGATTGAGGTAATTGGACTTGAAAATTGTCTGCACATGGGTCAAGTAAGAACAGGGCTTCGTGGGTCAGGCCGTCGGCTAGCTCAGTGTTCTTCTGTTGTCATAAGAACACGGAAGAAGTTTCCCATGCAGATTGATGGTGAACCTTGGTGTCAGCCTCCATGCACTGTGAGTTGCTGTTTACTTGAACTATTATAATTTTAATATTGAAACTTTGAAGTTGACATACCAAAAACAGTAATGAGCAGTATACTGCATGTAGTACTTTTGTATAGTCTGTTGCTGTATCAGACAAAGTTTCAGTAATAATCCAGCTCAACCTTATATTCAGTGTTATGCCTTCACCTTCAGTTGCATGCTGATGCTTGATTGTTGTGGGCAGCACTGCATGGGACTCAGTCCACATTCAAGGCTCCAGTTGGCAACATCTGAGGAGAGTCGTTGAAGCAGTGGACTCCACTGACAGAGGACACAACAGAGTCAGGACCACAACACAAAAAAAGGGGGCATCCCCTGATGCCACACAATCAACAAATGAGGATCCTTCCCACATAAAGCACTCATAGGAATCCATACTCATGAATGCACTGTCCAACCCTGATGGAGAGCTGTCAGGACAGGCCAAGATAGATAGATATGTGTACACAATATGAGGCTGACAACTGGATCCCTGAGCATAAACAAAGTCCCAGGTGGTGCTGCCCAAAATAAACAAGCACTGACATGCAGAGGAGGCATAACAATGGGCATAAGCTCAGAGAGGTGAATATTGTAGAGAATACTAATTTATTTCAGCATAATACAGTGTTACATAGTACTATAACATATTGTAGGTTAGCATACCATTAGATAATTATTTAATTCCAGCAGGTGTGCATGAGCGTGTTCGATAGGAGTGAATGGAGACGAATGGTATTTGGGACCTGACAAGCTGTTGGAGTGTAAGCAGGGCAATATTTAGTGAAGGGATTCAGGGAAATAAATAAATAAATAAATAAATAAATAAAGGAGGGGTTTGGGATATTGGCAGTTTGGAGGGATATGTTGTGTATCTTTATATGTGTATGCTTCTAAACTGTTGTATTCTGAGCACCTCTGCAAAAACAGTGATAATGTGTGAGTGTGGTGAAAGTGTTGAATGATGATGAAAGTATTTTCTTTTTGGGGATTTTCTTTCTTTTTTGGGTCACCCTGCCTCGGTGGGAGACGGCCGACTTGTTGAAAAAAAAAAAAATTCAGGGAAACCGGTTATTTTTATATAGCCGGACTTGAGTCCTGGAAATGGGAAGTACAATGCATGCACTCTAAAGGAGGGGTTCGGGATATTAGCAGTTTGGAGGGATATGTTGTGTATCTTTATACGTATATGCTTCTAAACTGTTGTGTTCTGAGCACCTCTGCAAAAACAGTGATTATGTGTGAGTGAGGTGAAAGTGTTGAATGATGATGAAAGTATTTTCTTTTTGGGGATTTTCTTTCTTTTTGGGTGACCCTGCCTCGGTGGGAGACGGCTAACTTGTTAAAAAAAAGAAAAAACAAATTTATTCTATTTAGAAAACCACTGCTAAACCCAAATGTCATACAGCACCACATGTGTATATGGAAGCATAACATATGTGAAGCATAGTTTTTATGAGACTGGTAATGTTATGGTTAAACTTCATAAGTTTTTTAAAATGTTATTTCTGCATTCAGTATTTTTAGTACTTTTTGTTGTGTACTTGCAGATACACATCAGCCACCATAACCAAGTGCCAATGTTGATGGGTCCAGGAACATGTAGAAGGAAAGGGCTCTTCTCTTTCATCCGTAAGTGACAGGGGGATTCTGGGACAACAAAGAATGTCCCAAAGTGTCCTAAAGATTCTCTCAGATTTTCTAAGCTTAGATGTCTTGCACGTAGACCTTGAGCCAAGTGGCTGTCAAACATAGTAAGATGATCATGTAAGGAATCCTATGTGCAATAAGGAGATCAGTGAAATGAAGTGCTTGACTAAAGTGCCCAAAAGCTTCCATGAATAAAAACAAATGAAGTTAAGAGGGCATTATGTTTATTACTCTGCCAAATAAAGAAAATTTTTCAAAATAATGAGGTTGAAGATTGTCAGCATAATATTTTAGTAAGGTTAGAATAATTAATAATACTAATTTTCTAATATAAAATTTAAGTTAAAATTAAAGGTACAGTGTTAAAATAAAACATGAAGGTGCTTGCTTTATAATTTTTATTTATTTAGTTTACAATGAAAAAAGGCATGAACTTTTAGTGTGAAAGTAATTGCTGTACTAAATACTAATGATTATATGTTGTTATAAGTCAAGTGACACAATTATTAGTCTGAGGTGGAAAGATATTTTAATAATTTATGGATAGCTGAAGAGATTAAAATTTAGATTTATAAAATACAAGATTATAGGACTAAAGTTTAGTTAAACAAAGGAAGCATGATCAGTTAGTGTGTTAGTGTGAAGGCCTATCAACTACACTAACATCAAGAATGCTTTAATCTCTTAAATAGGGGCTTAAAGTAAACTTAAGTAGTTAAACAGGGATATGAATCTCTCTATGTAATTCTCTTATACTAGTTTGTTAAGCTGAAAACCTATCAACTGCATGTGGGTCATTATGGGTGCAATTAACCTGTATACTAAAATAAAGAATATATTTATCCCTAAAATAAAAATTAAAGTAAAACTCTTAGTGTATATAAACTGAGATATACACATCAACTGCATGTGGGTCATTAAGATTGCAATTCATATGTACACTAACTTCAACAATACTTTATGCCCTAAAACTTGGATCAAAGTACAGTAAACTCTCAGAATATATACACTGAGAGATTCACACATCTCAGTGTATATATCCTCACTATCCTTGTGGTATTTCAATTTATGATTATGTATAAAAAATTTATGCATTTTTATCAAATAATACTTATATATACAAATATAAAATTTAAGTAGTAATTTATGAAAGTAAAACTGCATACTAAGTTTTTTCTCCATAATATTTTTTAATTTAGTATTAATAGCTTCTTTGATTACCCATCAATTTTGTTGATATCAAGATATGCCTTATTAATCTCATTCCAAGTTAAGACTTTAGATATTTGATATAAAAGCTTTGAACTCGTGTTGTTTAACACCAGCCTGCACACTTGTTTACAGTTGATGACAATCACTGTAAACATTCTGTAACTTGAAAAATGGTGTGGTGATACTGACAAGATGTCGATAAAGACACTTATATGCAGTTCAGGACATTTATTAGAGGAAATGTTTCGCCACGAATGACTTCAGTCCTTTAGGATCGAAGGGAACACTTGTGGTGAAGAGTTTCCTCTAATAAATGTCCTGAACTGTACATAGGTGTCTTTTCCACATTCTGTAGTTTGTTCATTATTTGATGAGCAGCTCTTCAGTATTGCATTAATGTATCAAAGTTACCAATTTTAAAATTATTCTGATAATATAGTAAAGCCTCAATATAACAGACTAGTATATGAGGGATTCTCAGAGTGTCCATTAAATAAGAATGGTGTTAGCAAATTACAGAAAAACACATAAATCTTCTACTGTGTACCTAATACAGTACCATACACACAATTCACAAATATACTGTACTGCAGTAAGCGTTGAAATTAAGTGAGTAAAACATACAATTTGCCCAGTGGAGTTTGTCATTACATGTTTTAAAAGTCTGCTATATCGAGGTCCGTTATATGTAGGTTTACTGATACTTATGATTTCTGAAACTTCTTTGTTGAATTTTTTTTTTTTTTGTCTTCTATAATTAGAAATGAAGGAAAATTATTTTTCAGTGACTGCCTAGATATAAGTCAGAGGCAAAGTCAAATGTATAGTACTTACTGTACCAAAATAAATGAAAATATTCTACCATATCTAGAGTGAGGTAATCATTAAATAAGATAGGATATTTTTTTGTGTACTCTGTATTAGAGTATACAAGTTCTTGTGTATGCTGAATGCTAGAGTACACAGTTTTTGTGTACTCTGTATGTTGCAAACTGCACAGGTTTTTATGAACTCTGTACTCTGTATATTACAAAACACACAAGTTTTTGTGTGCTCTGTTACAGAGAGTTCACAGGTTTCTCAGGTTCTGTCTCTTCCTTTTAAACATCTTTAGAGAGTTTTCACAATACCTATATTTTGGTTATTGATATTTACCATGTTAAAACTTTTTGAGCCTAATATATTTATGTAGTGTTGTAGAGGACTGCTTGCTTTATAATCCCAGTTCATTACAGCTACAGTAAATGATAATGCTTCATCATAAGTTACAGCATATAGCAATGTGCTGCCACTCAGATAAAATCAAATGTGACTAGGCTAGGCATGGATTGAAGAGGCACTGGAGTGAAGATTGATGGGTACAATTGCTTGTGGTCATGATACTGAACAAAAAATAAAATAATGTAGAAATAATAGTATGTACATGATTAGGGGCCTCCAGGCTCTCATTAACAGCTGCTCTTTTTCAATAAATGGGGATAAGAAAGAAGAGACCTGAGTGTTTGGCACCAAGCTAATAAATACAACTGAGAATTAAATAAAAAACTTGGAAACGTCATCAGTTTTGATAAAACAGTATAGAAATGTAAGAGGCTACCTTAAAAGCTTCCAGGCAAACTTTTGTCCGACTGTTTGCCTCTTAAGCGAGATGGGACTTAATAACGGACCAAGTGTCTAGCTTCATGCTAATAAACACCCTTGAAAATTAAATTAAGTCCCTAACAATTTTCTGATCATGCTAAAGACAGCTAAATAATGCTAGCCAGGAACACATCACTCTCAAGCTTTCAGTAAATAATAATCCATAAACAAAAATTTTGGAGGTAGTAGGTTGGTAGACAGCAACCGCCCAGGGAGGTACTACCGTCCTGCTAAGTGAGTGTAAAATGAAAGCCTGTAATTGTTTTACATGATGGTAGGATTGCTGGTGTCCATTTTTCTGTCTCATAAACATGCAAGATTTCAGGTACGTCTTGCTACTTCTACTTACACTTAGATCACACTGCACATACATGTACAAGCATATATATACATACCCCTCTGGGTTTTCTTCTATTTTCTTTCTAGTTCTTGTTCTTGTCTATTTCCTGTTATCTCCATGGGGAAGTGGAACAGAATTCTTCCTCCGTAAGCCATGCGTGTTGTAAGAGGTGACTAAAATGCCGGGAGCAAGGGGCTAGTAACCCCTTCTCCTGTATATATTACTAAATGTAAAAGGAGAAACTTTAGTTTTTCCTTTTGGGCCACCCCGCCTTGGTGGGATACAACCGGTGTGTTGAAAGAAAGAAAGAAAAAATTTTGAAGAGTCTACAATTAAGCCTTTTTCTGTACAACAACAACAACAACAAAATTATTTTGAACTTGACCTGCACTAAACATGATGTCTCAAAAGAATGACAAAGGCTAATGATGCTTACTTTAAATATGTAAAAGGCTCATCATTGCTATTCGTCTGGGAATGCTAGGTTAGGATTTTAAATGCATGAATACTTTGAAATTGAATTAATCTTGCTGCATAGCATTTCACAATTTTTATGTGGAAACTGGTCTGGCCATCAAACAGTGATACATTGTAAACACCTTCCTCAGAATCATTATTTAGGCCTAAAGCACCAAACCTACAGTCTGACTCTAAATTGGAATTCTTCTAGATCCCTTCACTTACAAGTACAGACATCACCACAGAGGAAAGAAGGAAATGATTTTAACCTCTTGCTATTTGCCACACTTAATAAATGATTTCTCTGAAAGAGTTATTCATTCTGGTTGTTTTCCACAGGCAACAGTAACCATAAGCAGAAGGTTGCACTGCAGCTCTTCACCCCAAAACTTGCCTAGCCACAAGCATAATTCTCTGAGGATGCAGATGATTTTGCTGCAACTGTCTTTATACCATACAGTGTTTATACATATAGAAAACTATTTTTTCTGGATATTTATTAAAATAATTATTTGAGATTTTGATGTTACCATTGTAATTTTATGCTAAGAAATATATGATTGAATATAGTGTATATATAAGATGCTCATTTCTTGTGAGGCTTACATGAAAATATGTCTTGATAGTATAATTTGTATTGAGAGAGAAATACATATTACATATTTATCAGGAACTAGAAATATTTATCTTTTAATACTACCATAACTAAGCAGTCATTTTTCTCTTAGCTTTGAACAATATACAGTATAATAGACTATATAAGTAACTAGGTTTTACAGAACTTGGATATATGCTGTTGTAATCTGCATACACATAAGCCAAAGAATCTCTTACACCAATGTCTTTATTTCATAATGCATTAGTTTACCATGATAGGCAGTGTACTGTATTAATAGTTTTACATATTAAATTATACTCCTCAGTTATGTTTATAGACTTAAAGATAGTGTAGCATGGTATATATGTTTTGAAAATTACAGTGTTGTATAAAAACTTGTTTGGTCAGGTTTCCACTCTTACATAATAATCTTACCTACATACAAAAAATACATTCCTTACCTCACATTTTGGTAGAAATGACTTCCTGTCCTTTTATTACAGATTTTTGAGGGAGTTAATATAAGGAGTAGATAAGGGAATGAGCAAGTGAAAGGGCATGGGAGAGAGCAGGCAAGAAATTGAGATGGCTAGTAAGCAAACAAGAAGTTTAGCAAGCACATGAGGTCAATATAAAGTGCAAGGCAAAATTCTGGGTGTCCTGTGGCTTGGTTGGTAGCGCACACAGCTCACACACTGAGGGTCCATGGTTTGATCCTCACCATGGGTGGAAACATTGGGCATGTTTCCTTACATGTGCTGCTCTTGTTCACCTAGCAATAAGTAGGTACCTGGGTGTTAGTTGACTGTTATGGGTGGCATCTCAGGGGGTATAGTATACTTTAGATATGGCTGGGTTTTGAAATTACAGTGTGGGCACTATACCTCTGACCTCCAGGACTCAGGTCTGGCTATCTGGTTTCCCTGAATCTCTTCATAAATGTTAACTACTCCTATAGCATGTCAAGCCATAAAAACCATTTGTCTCCCCTTACTTCACTCTAACATGGTCACACAAGTCTCTCTGACATTCAAAACCCTAGCATTGAAAATAAGAAGACCAAAATAGTAAAAAAAACTTATTGTATATATATACCATTCATTCTAAGTGGAGCACATAGTGTTAAACATTAAAAACCATTAAAAACAGAAAAACAATTATATCTTGACATCAATAAATTGTAAACAAACTGACATGGGCAATCACGTGCTGTGCTATACAGGAACAATGAACATGCAGGATGAAACTTTTACCATATAAACATGCAATTAAGCAAGAGTCGGTCCATTTTATCGAACGCATGACATGACCAAATGTTTGATATAGTGAATTTGGCCCACTTCATGGTTATTTTAATAAGACACTTCATTAAGCTTACATGTTGAGCCTTTGTCCAGCTAGATTTTTTTTGTCTGTTTTAGCTGATATCTGCTTTATGGAAGTCCATTTTATTAGACATTTACTATAATGATGATAATAATAATAATAGCAACAATAATAAACATTGTTTATGGTGAAATGCTAAACCTGTAAGCCTGTAAGGGGTTTACAGTGACTGAGAGAACTGAAGGCAATCAGGTTTGATCCAAAGAAGGGAAGGGCCAGCATCAGGGAACCTCCAGCCCACCTTGTCTGGTAATCACTCCACATGACTTGTATTTATTTGTAATTTCCCCTCATATCATAATTTCTGTGATTTATGAAAAAATCAAAATTTATTTCATGGCCATTTTAGAGGTGACAAAATAATTATAAACCTCTTGTGTCTGCCCTTATAGCATTTCCATGTTGTCCACCAGAAAACAGATTTCGTGATGTGACCTAGTATAGTGACCTCAGTCATTTGCTAGCTGTTTTACTTGTTTACTCTTCTGTTTGTCTTGCCTTTCTCTCTCTCTCTCCTCTCTCTCTCTCTCTCTCTCTCTCTCTCTCCTCTCCTCTCTCTCTCTTCTCTCTCTCTCTCCTCTCTGTCTCTCTCTGTCTCTCTCTCTTGTCTCTCTCTGTCTCTCTCTGTCTCTCTCTCTCTCTCCTGTCTCTCTCTCTCTCTCTCTCTCTCTCTCTCTCTCTCTCTCTCTCTCTCTTCTCTCTCTCTCTCTCTGTCTCTGTCTCTCTCTGTCTCTCTCTGTCTCTCTCTGTCTCTCTCTGTCTCTCTCTGTCTCTCTCTGTCTCTGTCTCTGTCTCTCTCTCTCTCTCTCTCTCTCTCTCTCTCTCTCTCTCTCTCTCTCTGTCTCTCTCTCTCTCTCTCTCTTTCTCTCTCTCTCTGTCTGTCTCTCTCTCTCTCTCTCTCTCTCTCTCTCTCTCTCTCTCTCTCTCTCTCTCTCTCTCTTCTCTCTCGCTCGCCTACCCTCCTGCTTGCCCCACCCTTTTCTTTCTCTCTTGCCTACCCTCCTGCTTGCCCCACCCTTTTCTCTCTCTCTTGCCTACCCTCCTGCTTGACCCACCCTTCTCTCTCTCTCTCTCTCTCTCTCTCTCTCTATCTCTATCTCTATCTCTATCTCTTTCTCTTTTTTACACAGGGTTTGACAAGGTTAGGTTAAGGATCCCTAGCTTTATTGACAAGCTATTTACAGGTTAAGGATTCCTAACTTTATTGACAAGCTAAGAGCTGTTACCTACATCAGTTCATTTGAAAGCATTTTTATTGTTATGAAACATACAAGTTATTTTATTGTTATGAAACATACAAGTAAGGAACAGGATGAAGTTGGAGCCATCTGTGGGCCAGCATTTTCATTTGACCAACTGACTTTATCTTGTTGACATCATAATGCTGTACGAATGTGCTCCAGACTTGAGTCATCCTGGGGATAAATGATCTCAGATGAAGTGATGTTCTGGAGAAGGGTACAGCCAGAGTGAAGTTGCTGCTTTCTGCCCATCTTGTGGCATAGAAACTTGCTTCTTGCTGTCCTCAAAGTGGATCCAAGTGTAGTACTTTGACAACATTGGCCTTGTACATAACAGTAAGGCCACCTACATCCCTCCTGTATTGAAGGCTCTGCTGAAATGACATCTATTCAGGATGGGTACAGGCGAGAGATGAGACGTCTTGCTCTGTTCTCTACTCTGTCAAGCAGTTGCAGATGAGAAGGGGGGCAGGCAAACCAAGAAAGTGGAGCATACTCAAGGTGTAAGCGTACTTGTGCCTCATACAGAATCTTGCAACCCCTACTGTCAAGCAGATGCGAGATACAGTGAAGTGCTGTAAGCTTCCTGGCTGCCTTGTTTGTAGGATTTACAACATGGTTCTTCATGGTCAGTTTGGAGTCAAATTTCACCCCAAGGATATCAACTTCTTTCCCAGGTACCAACACCCTCCCATTCATGTTCACTACTGCACCAGCATTGCCATCATGGTGCCTAGAGACCATCATCATTTGCATTTTCTCAGGTGCAAATGTTACTTGCCAGGATGGGTACAGGCGAGAGATGAGATGTCTTGCTCTGTTCTCTACTCCGTTAAGCAGTTGCAGATGAAAGGGGGGGCAGGCAAACCAAGAAAGTGGGGCATACTCAAGGTGTGAGTGTACTTGTGCCTCGTACAGAATCTTGCAACCCCTACATCAAGCAGATGCGAGATACGGCGAAGTGCTGTAAGCTTCCTGGCTGCCTTGTTTGCTAGATTTACAACATGGTTCTTCATGGTTAGTTTAGAGTCAAATTTCACCCCAAGGATATCAACTTCTTTTCCAGGTGCCAACACCCTCCCATTCATCCTTACTACTGCACCAGCATTACCATCATGGTGCCTAGAGACGATCATTCTCTCTCTCTCTCTCTCTCTCTCTCTCTCTCTCTTTTCTCTCTCTTTCTCTCTCTCTCTCTCTCTCTCTCTCTCTCTCTCTCTCTCCTCTCTCTCTCTCTCTCTCTCTCCTCTCTCTCTCTCTCTCTCTCTCTTTTCTCTCTCTCTCTCTTTCTCTCTCTCTTCCTCTTTCTCTCTTTCTCTCTTTCTCTCTTTCTCTTCTTTCTCTCTTTCTTTCTTTCTTTCTTTCTTTCTTTCTTTTTTTTTTTTTACATAGGGTTTGACAAGGTTAAGGATCCCTAACTTTATTGACAAGCTATTTACAGGTTAAGGATTCCTAACTTTATTGGCAAGCTAAGAGCTGTTACCTACATCAGCTCATTTGAAAGCATTTTTATTGTTATGAGACATACAAGTAGGGAACAGGATGAAGTTGGAGCCATCTGTGGGCCAGCATTTTCATTTGATCAACTGACTTTATCTCGTTGACATCATTATGCTGTACAAATGTGTTCCATACTCGAGTCATCCTGGGTATGTATGATCTCAGATGGAGTGATGTTCTGGAGAAGGGTACAGCCAGAGTGAAGTTGCTGCTTTCTGCCCGTCTTGTGGCATTAAAGCTTGTTTCACGCTGTCCTCGAAGTGGATCCAAGTGTGGTATTTTGACAATATTGGCCTTGTACATAACAGTAAGGCCACCCACATCCCTCCTATGTTGAAGGCTCTGCTGAAATGACAGATCTATCCAGGATGGGTCCAGGCGAGAGATGAGACGTCTTGCTCTGTTCTCTACTCTGTCAAGCAGTCGCAGATGAGAGGGGGGGCAGGCAAACCAAGAAAGTGGAGCATACTCAAGGTGTGAGCGTACTTGTGCTTCGTACAGGATCTTGCAACCCCTACTGTCAAGCAGATGCGAGATATGGCGAAGTGCTGTAAGCTTCCTGGCTGCCTTGTTTGCAAGATTTACAACATGGTTCTTCATGGTTAGTTTGGAGTCAAATTTCACCCCAAGGATATCAACTTCTTCTCCAGGTGCCAACACCCTCCCATTCATCCTTACTACTGCCCCAGCATTACCATCATGGTGCCTAGAGACGATCATCATTTGCGTTTTCTCAGGTGCAAATGTTACTTGCCATCTATTTCCCCAAGCTGATACAGCTCTCAGCTGGTGATTGATGTAGCTTAGAGCAGCTGGCATTTCTTCTCTTGGATAAGTGAATGTCAGTGTACAGTCGTCTGCATATGCATGTGATTCTGGGATGAGATGAAGAAGGTCGTTGAAGTAGACATTCCATAATGGACCCAGCACGCTTCCTTGTGGAACACTTGCCCCAATAGGATGTCTTGCTGATTCCGTTCCATTGAGGACTACACTTAGAGATCTACCATGAAGGTAATCACTGAGGAGACATAGCGTAGAGCCTGCAATTCCCAGTGCTTGAAGTTTTGCTAAGAGGCCCTGGTGCCACACCCGGTCGAAAGCGCCAGCAATGTCCAGTGCTACCACACAGCTGACTTTGGATTCATCCAATGACTGGTGCCACTTAGTGGAGAGGTTTAACAACAGATCAGCAGCAGAGTAACCTTTCCTGAAGCCATATTGATGATCACAAAGTAGTGAGTGGTAGTCAAAAAACTCTGTCATTTGTCTTGAGATTATTGTCTCAAGGATCTTACCAGTGATTGACAAGAGTGACACTGGTCTGTAGTTGCTGATTTCTGCTCTGCTCTTCTTTTTGTGAACAGGGACTACATTTGCCTCTTTCCACAGAGAGGGCCATTTACACTGTACTAGGCAGTGCTGAAAGATGCGAGTTAGAGGTGCTGCTAGCTGGTCTGCACATCTTCTCAACAATCTTGGGCTCAACTTGTCTGGGCCCACCCCCTTTTCTTGGTCCAGCGATTTAAGAAGGAAATGCACCTCCTCCTGCCTTATTGTCACCACTGACAGTTTTGACACAGTTCTTGCAGCTAGCCAAGGAGGGACCCTTGCTGGATCAGGAACTTGCATTTTGGTCGCACAGTGTTCAGCAAAGAGGTCCGCCTTTTCTTGACTACTAGTAGAGGTGGTCCCATCCTGTCGATTTAGAGGTGGATTAAGTTTATCAGGCAGATAACCTTGTCTGTCCTTGACCAGGGACCACCAGGTTTTGGAGCCTACCCTACCTGATGCAAGCTTTCTTTTAGTGTCCACCTCCCATTTAGCAATGGCCCAATTTTGAACATCACCCATATGCCTACAGGCTTGCCTGTACAAGTTCCTGTTATAGGTGGTAGGATGTCTCTTATACCTTCGCCATGCTTTGTACTTAGCAGTAGCAGCCTCTCTACAACGAAAGCCAAACCAAGGCTGATCTGTAGGCTTCGTCACATATTGCCGGTGAGGAATGTGTTCTTGTTGTAGATTAAGGATGTGTCCAGTGAAGGCTTTCACTTGGTTGTCAACATCCCCTTGGAGAAGAGCATTCCAATCGGTGGTGGCGAGCTCAGAGCAAAGGGCTGGCCAATTACCTCTTTCCCATAGCCAGGTTGTGCGTGTGGACTCCTCACCTCGTTCTGTCGGATCTTAAGTGTCGTAAAAACAGCCTTGTGGTCAGACGATCCAACGTAGCCGAGGGGTTGACAAGTGACTATGCCTTCTGCCAGATCACTCACTACTGGGTCAAGGGAGGAGCCAGAGATATGAGTAGGGAAATCAACAAAGTTTCTCATGTCAAACACTGCAAGAAGGTCATCAAAGTCCCTCTGTATAAGGTGCTGGTTGAGGTCACCAACAATTATAATATGTTGACAGTTGTGTTGTAGCAGAAGGGAGTCAATATTTTCCATTAGGAAGTTGATGGGGTCTGCATGTTGCCACTGAGGTCTGTACATTGCACATGCTAGTACAGAGGTACTAGTGTTTATACAGAGCTTGAAGAACATCATTTCAAGATGTGTAGGGGTGGCAACATCAATGTGCTGGGCATGAACACTTTTAGAGAAGCACACAGCAACACCTCCTCCTTGCCCTTGCCTGTCTCTTCTCATCCATGAGGTGTAGCCAGCAATTCTTGCAAAATTTTCTGGAGTCCTGTCATCCAAAAATGTTTCAACAACAGCTATCATGTCGGGACGTCGAGTGTT